GAAGAGAGGAGGCACAGGGACTCTGGAACCTTCACCTCCATGGTCACCTGCCTTACCCTGTCATGCCAAACATTAGACTACAAACACTAGGCCGGAGGAGTTGGGGGGAATCCAGGTTTGCTGCCCTCACCAAATTTGGAATTTTAAAAAAGTATTATTAAAAAGATACTGTTTACATTTAGTTACTTTCTGATTTCCACTAGAACAGAAATTTGTAGTAATTGCTACAAATTTAAACCTTCATTCATATGCGAGGATGAAGAATTGCATGGCTTTAAAGAAGTCCTGGGATCCAAGGAGCTCTGGGGAGCATGGGCCTTTTGATCTGGAAGGGATCAATTCCCTTATCTGATGGCTGAGAAGACTGAGGCCCAGGCAGGTTTAGCAGATTAGTGGCACAGCTGGGACCCAAGTTTCTCCTTCCTGGTTCAGTGCTCTTGCAAAAGCCTACTCTTTCACTCATTCTTCAAGATGTGTTTGGGTTCTTACCATGAACCAGATCCAATTCTGGGCATGGTCCCTGACCTTGGTTAATTTGCATGTTAGCTGGTACCAAGTGCCAGCCTTGAGGGGGTCGGGGTGGGTTGTAGTATGGGGGTATAAGGAAGTCTAGAGGCAAGAGCTCATAGGCCTCTCTAGATAAAGGCAAGTCATTTTGGTGTGATTGGAACTTGAGGAAGGGGATGTGAGGAGAAGGCGAGAGGGAGTGAGGAGGCTAGAGGAGGAGACAGGGTCAGATCTTGAAGAGCAGTGCAAGCTCTTCATTCAGAAGTGTAAATTTCTGGGACATGGCAGGGGTTGGGGATTGGGGTTGCGCTCATGTCTCTTCCCTTCTGCTCCTCCAAAGCAGCTCAAAGCCTTTAAGTTAATTACCTGTTGGTATAATGGGAGCAACCCTAATTTACATTAGCCTTTCAACTTCTCTGAGTTTGGTGTTGCTAGTTAATTCCATGCACACCTTATCCTCACAAGCTCTTACACTTAAGTGTCCCGTCCTGAATGCACTATCAAATACCCATAGGCTGGACCCACCCAGGTTACTCTGGAGTGGTTTGGCAACTCAGTAAATCAGGCTGTGGTCAAAAGAATGGCCAGCCCCGACTCCCCACCCTACTTCTGTGTTTCATAACAAGTAAGGGAAGTTGTTTGATCACAGGGGAAGAGAAAGAAAAGCAAGAAGCAAGTGTATTATAATGAATATAGAATATAGTTTGATAGGGATATATATATTCTCTCAATAGCTGGTGTGAGGATTTCTCTTTTGCTGGGGGTGGGGGATGCTTCTCAGTTCACAGAAAAACTTCACAGGCAGGTATGGGGGAGAGTTTAAATCTTGGATGTGAGTGTAGAAGTTCTCAAAATTAAACAGGCATCAAAATTCTGGAGGGCTTGTTGAAACACAGATTGCCAGCTCTCTGCTCCAGGAGTTTCTGATGCAGTGGATATGGGGTTGGGCCTGAGAGTTTACATTTCTAACATGTTCCTGGTGCTCCCTGGTTTAGGGAGCATGGGCTTACAGGAAACAGGAGGCTGCCTGAAACAACTGAGCAGGAAGAATTTGGGATGCAGGAGGAAAGGAGAGAAGAGGGAGGCAAAGGAAATAGATGGTGGAATGCTGGGTGCTATACAATGCAATCCTCTAAACTTTAGTGAAGAGTTTTCTCTCTTTACTAGATAATAACATGCTTGGGGTGAAGAGATTTCTTGTGGAAACTAGAAATGAGGTTGAGCTGTGCATTCTGGGATGACATAGGGGTGAAATAGAGACGTTGCCCCTGGAGCTAAGGGGGACTTCAAACTAAGTCCATGGAAGCAGGTGTTGGAAATTGAGGGTGGGCTTGCACTTTAAAACTTAAGGGATAAATTAATTGAGTCAAGGGACAGGTGCCGTGGATATTTATAACCCAGGTGACCCCCTCACTGCATGTCTTCTAGGAAGAAGTGCCTGCTGGGGAGAAAGAAAGGTTCTAGGAGAACAGAACATTATGCACTCCTTAGGAACATATGATAAAGACCTATGTTCACAATGCAGCAGATGTGAGCAAATGCATAGAAAATCTGAAGAATACAGAAGCTGCTCAACTTATGAACAGGAAAAGGATTCAAAGGACTTTTAATAAGGCTATGTTTTCATTAAGTCCAAGGGGACATCACTATGCCAATATCCACTAACTTTATTCTTTGGTGACAGGGAAAGACAGTGAAACTTTTATTCTGATGTAAGTTCACAAGCTGAGTCAATTTCTATACACATCACATTGTGAACAGTGGTTACTCTAAAGGGTGGGAATATTATATTTTCCACTTTCTTCATTTCTTTTACCAATGATGATTTTTTTTAAATCATTTTTTGTCATCAGAAAATATTTTTAGCCCTGGCTGGTGTGACTCAGTGGATTGAGTACTGGCTCGTGAACCAAAAGGTTGCCAGTTTGATTTCTAGTCAGGGCACATGCCTGGGTGGGCCAGGTCCCCAGTTGGGGGTGCGCAAGAGGCAACAGATAGATGCAGCTCTCTCATATGGATGTTTCTCTCCCTTTCTTTCTCTCTCCCTTCTCCTCTCTCTAAAAGTAAATAAATAAAATCTTTTGAAAAAAGATAATATTTTTTAGAAAGTAGATTTTATTTCATACTTTTGCCTTCAACTGTGTCAGGGAGTCTGACCTGGTGCGGTGCCTATGCTTTGAGGGGTCTGGAAACAGGAAATTGCTGAGTTATTGCCAAGGCATGTGGTCAGCAATATTATTCTAGATGCAAAAAGAGGATAGGGTCAGTTAGGGCAACTATTGATCTTTGTTAGGGAAAAATACTGCCCTAGGACATGACTACCTGCCATATCCTGCTTCTAGTTAGAAAGTTTTCATTTCAGACCATCTTTATGTGGTTACTTTTTGACTCTGAGTTTGTAAAGCTGCCACACATACCTCCCTTGAGCTTGTCAGGTTTAGTATGTGGCCTTTTCGTCCACAGAGTTCATAAACCTAAGTATGTCATGTGACTTTCACTGTTAAGGCTGCTTTTGTAGGCTCTGTTAGCTAGCTCTCTGGCATTTCTGGTCATGCTGAGTTACAGAAATCTTTGGCAAAGTTGGAAACTCATGGCCCTCTAAACTAGTCTCCCTGTAGAAAGAGATGTAGCCCTTCCTTTTAGGTGCCAGCTCCCTCCATTAGGACCTGAGTAATCTCTGTTTTGGAGCTATTAGACTTCTTTCTGATCCTGAACATTCAGTCTCTTCCCTTAAATGTTATTTTCCTCAATGGGCTGAGGCTTTTCAGAAAACAAAAGCCAGTGAAGTCCAGTGAAAGCTATTTTTTTTTTTTTTTTGGCTTTCTTGCTAAGCATATAACTATTTTTTAGGTAAGGAAGCAAAGAGGGAAAAACAAGTAGAAAAAAATCACAGTTAAAAGCATTATTCAGCCGCATGAATTCATTCTAGAGGAATTACACTTAAAATTTTAAAAGCTTTTTTTAAATTAAGAATTTATTATTTTTTAACAGAATTTTTAGGTTCACAGAAAAATTGAGGGGAGAATACGGAGATTTCCCACATATTTCCTGCTTCCTGCAAATGCATAGCTTCCCACTTTATCAATATTCTCAACCAGAGTGGTACATTTGTTACAAGTGATGAAACTACGTTGACATCATAATCACCCAAAGTCCATAGTTGTCGTCAGAGTTATGCTTTAAAAAAAGAGAGAATAATTTTTATAGAAGTATACATTTATTGGTATGAAGAGATATTCTCAACATATTGCTTTGACAGAAATTAAAAAGCAATCTGTCGTTGCATGTTTAACTAGAAAATGGATAACGAAGTTGAAATGTTCTTGAATACTGCAACCAAAGGCAGGTCCTGCTGCCTGCTGCTTCGAAAGCCAACTCTAGAGGCAGATGCTGATATAAAGGAAAAATGTTTTTTTCAGGTGCCAGCAACCTACAAGATGGTGGTGGACTCTCATCTCAAAGCCTCTTAACATCTCATTGCGGGCCAGGGTTTTTATAAGGCAGGCGAGGGAAAAGGAGAACAAAGAGATTAGGGGGAGAGGCTGTGGGCATCCAGGCACTGTCCTTGCTGGTCCTGATATGGACCGTTAATGTGTCAGCATCTTGGGGCTGGTCAGCGCCAGCCAAATTCCTGCAGTTGGGCTATCTGCACCATGTCTTGGTCAAGGCTGTATTTTTGTGCAAGCAGGATCTGGAACTGCTGGGGTTTGCAATATGCTTATAAGGAAACTTCAAGAATGAGTTCTTTTTATTAGTTTGTTAGTACATTTTATTCTAATTCCATTTCATGGTAATTCAGAGTAGTATAAAGTTTTCATTCCCTGTTACAACACCACCATGTAATAGTGGGTATCTCTGGATATCGCTAGAATCCACACATCATAAAGTAATTTTTTCAATACCTGCACTGGGGAAGACATCTGAGAATGACTCAGGACTCATCACCTTGTTTTACGTTGTGTTTAATGTTTTCCTGTAATTTATGATATAACAGCTTAGGACCTGAATGTACTGGCAATACACAGTATAACAATACTCATAAATTTAATTTAGTACAGTAGTAAATGACTTTTAAGTATAGTTGAGAGGGAATGTATGAGCGTATCTTGAGATATGGCTGGATAAAATTTCTCAAAAAAACAAAAAGGCAAAGGGGCGACTGATGTGTATGTTTTCTAATTCTAGTGGATCAAGAAGGTGAAATGGGAACCTGGTAGAGAAACTGAGTCGGAAGTCAGGAATTCTGTGCAACAGCCGTCGTCTCTAGGTAATAATTTCATAAACTGCGGGGGCTGGAAAAGTAGGGAGAGAAGCAGAGAGATCGTCCTAAAGAGTCGTAAGGTCCCACTAGTTCTAACAGGGTTGGTTCTCTTTAAGTAAAAGAGAATTCTAAATAATCAAAAGCGCCCTCTTTCCACGCTCACCCCGGTACTCTAGAAGAGCCACGTGTCCAGACTCCTTAAACAAAAGAAACCGGGCTCTGGGGCCCGGACCTTTCGTCCTGGGGTGCGTGTGCCTTCAGAGCAGGTTGGGAGACTCCTTCAAGCAGGGAATCTGCAAAGCAGAGTCCTGAGAATTGTTGGTTGCTTCCTGGGCCCACCTCTCCCGGAGTGATTGGTGTCATCCGGGTTTCTGACGAGTGACACCAGCCCACCCCCCAGAACCCCCAGAGGAGGTTGCACACCCCCAAGCGCTGCAGGACTCACAGGCGCCGCGGGGGCGGCCCGCACCTAGTGCGCAGGCGCTGAAAGCTGGATTCAGGCCTCCAACCAAGCCCTGGCGATCGCGCTCCGCCACGGCTGGAGCCGTGGGTGGTTTACTTTCGAACTGCAACTCCGCGCTCCTTCCCATTGGTGGCTGCTACGCAGTTGAATGTTGCCGGGAGACTGCAGCTGCGTCAGTAGGCTCCGCGAAGCCCCGCCTCCTTTGAGCACCTGGAGGCCCTCAGGCGGAGGACTGCTGGGGAGCTGAGGCGGTCTCCTCCTCTCCGCGGAGGGCGGCGAGCTTGGTGTCGGCCTGTGAGATTGCGGGGGGTGAGTGAGGAGCTTCTCTTCGGGTTTGAGAGGGCGGCGGCGGCTCCGGGCTCGTCTTTCCCTGTAGCGGAGGCTGGTATGTTGGATGAATTTGGAGGACAGTCGAGGGGCTTGCTGGAGAAAGCGGGCTTGGGTCCTGCAACTATTCCCTCTTGTCCCCGTTGGGGAGCGTGGGGAACCTCGTTTTCTGCCCCCCGCCCTGGTGTGGAACGACATTTCTGTGAGGGGAACGGTGCTCTGGGCGGGGAGGCGGGGAGGCGGGGAGGGGCCGGACTGCACAGAGCGGGTCTGCCTGGGCGGAGGCGCCGAGCCGGTGGAGGCGCCTGAAGAGGGAGGCCCGGGAGGATTTCTCGTAAACCTCCGAGAAAGAGAAGAGGAAGGCTGCTGCTATTCTGAGCCTTTCCTCTGTGAAAGGTTCTGTAGGGACGTAACGGGGTAGGTGTATTTGTGCCCATTTTACAGATGTGAAACCTCAGTTCGGAGAAGCATTAAGTAAAAGTGACCCAGGGTCTCACAATAGTTTAAAGAACGGACGTATTGATAGGAATAACCTAAATCAATACTCACAGGTTTAAGGTGGCAAAAATCTTTCAGTGCCACAGATACTTCTTGCCTTCTACTTAAACTTTGAGCAATCTGAAATGACCGTGAATGTTGGCCCCGCCATCACCATTGCTGACTAACAGTATTTATGAGAGTTCAAAAGATGCTTGACGTTATAAAAAGTCCTTCGTGACAATTTATTTGGTGGCAGAGTTGTTGGGACTTTCAAGGTGCGAAAGATCCTCTCCTGCTGCTGCAACAACTGTTGATCTTTGTGACTGCTTTTCTAAAAACAGTGAAGCATAGGGAAATCAAAGACAGTGAAATAACAACCATTCCTGTGGTATCCTATTCAAGATATTTTTTGAGAATGTACTTCTAAAACATTAATTTTAATTTTAGAATAAGAATAAAAGAATCTGAAAAACTTGGAGAAGATAAAGTATATTCAGTCATCAAAGCAGAAGATCGACAAAGTGGGTAAGTTCTGGGGGATCAATCAAGTGAATACAAAAGAATATTCAGGTAATTTTTGTTCCCTGGTTAAATTGCATTAATAGTTTCTTCTTCAGTTTGGGGAAACATGTTGATGTCAGAAGGCAGGAAAACAGTACAAATGAGCAGAGTTGAAATCTGATCTGACCATACGACTTTTTTTTTTTTTAATTTGAAAGTGTTCTGGCGATCCTTCACTGTTTTGTACAATTTATATGCACAAAAGTATAATTTAATTTAATTTTTTTTACTCCTTACCTGAGAATATATTCGCTGCTTCCAGAGAGAGGGAGAGAGGGAGTAAAGGGGGTGGGGGTGGGGATGGGGGAGGGGAGAGAGGAAGAGAAAGAGAAACATGGATATGAGAAACATCAATCGTTTGCCACCCAAACGCACCCCAGCTGGACACAACCTGTGACCTAGGTATGTGCCCTGACGGAGGATCAAACCCATAACTTTTTGATACTCTAGCCAGCTGAGCCACTGGGCCAGAGCTGTACAAAAGTATTTTTTAAAACTTACCCTATGTGTATAGAATGCACAATTGTAGTATTTCTAAAGTAAGTTTAACTACATGAAATGTGCTTTTTATCAGTTAGGGCCACAACGATGTGAGCCCCAATCTGGGTGGTAGCACCTCTTGAATTTTCCAAGTCTTATAGCTGACTCACACTGTAAGTCCTAGAGCAAGTCATCCAACTCTATAACGTGGTAAATACGGTTTCTCTTTAGTGGATGTAAAATGTAATAAGTATTTCATAACTATTCATGTTTAGAGATGAAAAGCAATAACATATTAGTGAATTAAAACTTAAAAAATTGTTTACACAGGAGAATGGGCAATTATATTTTTGCTACTGCTTATTTCTCCATCATTTCTTCAGTGCTGACCCATCCATAATAGGCTGGTTAGATATTGTGGAGACTCCGTAGAAAATCAGCCCTCTGGAGAAAGACTGCATAAAAAGTTCAGAAATTCAGAAATGTGTTTTTTTGATACGTAAACACAAGAAATTTGTGAAGTACTTTGTAAGTAGATGATGTAGCCTTAGGTTTCTTTCTGGAAATAATTTTTATATTCATATTTCTTGGTGACTTTCAAAAGAGAAGCAGGAACCTTCAAACTAAATTATCCATTTTTACCTGGACTCCCTGGAGAAAATAACATTTTATTCTGGTTAATGACAGTACATGACTTTGGTAATGAAAGTATATGGCTTCAACTTTGCCCTCTAGAATTTTTTTTTTTTTAACCCCACAGATTTTGCCAAGAGTATCTTTATTGTTTCACATCAATAAATTAGATCTTGGTTGGGCACAGGATTCATAGGTCATGTCCTTTTCCAGACCTTGTGGACATTGCTACATTGTGTTTTAGCATGCCTTATTCCTTTGGAGATGTTCTGGTTATCTACTACTGTGTCACAAACATCTGAAGACTTGGCTGGTGACATGTCCAAGATGGTGTTTTTACTGACATGTCTGGCACCTCATTGCTTCTCCACTTGGCCTCTCTCAGCAGAATAGCCTGGACTTTTTACTTAGCAGTTTGTGATTCGAAGAGTCAGCAACCTGCCAGGCTAGTTAAGAGCCATACCCAGCACTGTCACAGCATCACTTATTTTGAATCCTATTGGTCAGAGCAGTCACCTATCCTATCTGGATTTGTTGAAGGGATGAACAGGGGGAATATAGATTTCATCTCTTGATGGGGGGAGTACCAGCAAAGTCACATTGCAGAAGAGCATATGTGGGTGATAATTGTTGTGGTCATCTTTGGAAATTACGGGCTCCCAAAAGAGAATTTGAAGACCATTTTGTTTTTGTTTTCCTTTTTTTAGGTATCTTACTTTTCTGCCAAGATGTTTGTAGGATTGTTTTTATTTCTTTCTTTAAAACTTTATATTTTCATTGCATGTTAATAGTTGAAAACAGCAGTATTTAAGTTTGTAATGAAAAAAAGCAATGCCCTGCCCTCTCCCCATTTCTGATTCCTACACTCCAGAAGCAATCACTTTTATTTCTTCTAATGATTTCTTTTGATATTTGCTTCTGTATTTCTAAATAATATGCTTTTTATGTGATTTCTTGATTTTTTTCACTTTTAGGTATGGACTGATTCCTTTTAAGGGGAGATTTAGTTTTTAAACACTGTTTCCTTCCCATAAATCCTCCCCCAAATATAATTATATCATTTTCTTAGTTTGGGATATTATAGGCTGGGTGCCCTAAAGAACAAACATTTATTTCTCACAGTTCTAGAGACTAGGAAGTCTAAGATCAAAATGTCACCATAGTTAGATTCTGGTGAGAGCTCTCTTCCTGGTGTGCAGGTGACCATTTTCTTGCTGGGTCCTCCAGTGGGGGAGAGCAGACAGAGAAGCCCTGGTATCTCTTCTCATAAGGACACTAATCCCATTCATGAGTGCTCCACCCTCATGATCTCCCAAAGGCTCCACTCCTAATTCCACCACCTAAAAGGGTTAGGATTTCAACATAGGAATTTTGTTGGGACACAGACATGACAGTCTATAACAGTCATGTTTTTTGAACAAATCAAATTTAATATTTATAATTTTGTGAATAATATGACTACTAAGCCATACATTACATGTATTTCCTTTCTTTTAATGATTCTATCACTTTTCCTTAAATTTAGTTTTCTCATTACCTCTCAGTATGTTCAGACACATGATATATTCTGTCAGTTCCATTTATTTACTTAAAAGACATTTTTTCTGGATCTCTGTCTTCTTCCTCCAGACTACCTGTTCTCTAGGCTTGCTGCACACTTTTCCTGGACTTCATTTCATCATTATCCTGATGAGAATTTTTGCTTTTCTTTTCACACTGCAGTAGCTTCTTTACAACGTGGGGAGGGAGGCATGTTCATTTTTTGAGAACTCTCATGTCAAATTTTCTTTAGTCTACCCTGAAAAGAGTTTTATTTTTCTTTGCATAGAATTTTAGGTTGGAAGCCATTTTTTTTCTGAGAAAACAGGGAGGGACAAAAGTAGTTTACAGTTGTGAGTACACAAAATACAAAGTTTATTCTTGAATGATTATTCATTAATTATTGAATTATTCATTATTGTTATTAACCTACTTTTGCCCACATTTGTATTGAGATTATTGCTTCATTGTCTTAAAGGGTTCAGTGTTGTTGCATACATAAAACATAGTTAAAATTAATATATTTATCCTAGAAAATATACATAGCTCAAGTTTTTTGTACCTTTTCTCCCCATCAAGAGTTTAGGCTGGTTATGGAAAATTTCTGGTGGATAAAATGTCATACTAGTTCCTGGAAGAACTAGCCCCTAAATGTGATAACCACCTATATCTTCTGTTTTTTGGGCAGCAATCAGAGTAAAAAAGTTCCTAGTCTTACAGTTATTGTCAACCAGCCTGGCTTCGTGGTATCTGACTTCTCATGAATTTGTTACCTAAAATTATTTTTTAATAAATCAGCAAGAAGAGGGTAGTCCAAGAGTAGAATTCGATGTCTGTATCTTCAAGTTATTCACAAATTTCTGATGAAATTTTATTTAAAATTTTATATACTAAGGAAGTAACTTTTGAGACCATAATATTTGCTTTCATTTTTATATCAGCTCAGGAGATACTTTCTTTGCAGTATTGTGAATATCCTCATTCTAAAAAGTTGAGCTTTTGGAATCCTTAAATAGGTTCTTAGGGAGAATGTTTTGTATCTTTTGACAAATGTAGGACTTTGAAGGGAAGCATTGGAAGGAAAGCTTGGATTCTATTTTAGGGATAATTTTTGTATTTAAACACTAAATAGCTCTCATATTAAATCTAAATAGAATATATGTCCACTACTCAAATTCTATTCCTTGCTAAATGGTATTCTGTTTATTCCTTCATGACATCACTGAAATTCTCTGAGAAACACGTTTGTTTTTCTTGGGTGGCTTTGTATGATCTGTAGATAATAGGGTAAAGTCATAAAGTCTTTCCAACATGCATTCACTTGAATTTATGTGCAGTGAATGTCATCTTCTGTACTGTTGCCCAGTTACGTTAGTTTCCTGGAATGTTTCACAGTTGAAGAATCTTAGTGTCTTTGTGACACATCTTGGCTTATTAGGGCTCTGAGTATTTGATCAGTCTGAATGGAGTGTATTTTTTGATGGACTCTCCTTTTACAGCTTTTCCTAAGAAAGTAGAGATTTTGCTATTTTAAAGAAACCAAAAAACTAAGACATGACATTAATATTGGTCTCATAAGAGACAGTGTTTAGCCCTGGCTGGTATGGCTCAGTGGACTGAGTGTTGGCCTACGAACCGAAGGGTTGCAGATTTGATTCCCAGCCAGGGCACATACCTGGGTTGTGGGCCAGGTTCCCAGTTGGGGGCATGCGAGAGGCAACCACACATTGATGTTTCTTCTTCTCTTCTTCCCTCCCTTCCCCTCTGCCTAAAAATAAATAAATAAAATCTTTAGGAAAAAAAAGAGACAGGGTTTACCAATTGTGAGTGAATGCCTACTGTGTTTCATGTTTTGTGCTTAGACACAATTCCTGCCTTTATTGTAGGTTTATATTCTAATGTATAGAAAAATGTTAAAAATTTTTTCTAAATGAAATCCAGTTAAGTGCTATAAAGTGGAAGTGTAACATTCTGTTGAGATTAACAGGTTACCTAGTCTGGGGAGGAGGAAGGTTTAAATTGAGATTTGAAGCATAAGAAGTTAGTTTTGAAACTAGTAGAGGCAGGGAGTATAGAGATGAAAAGTCTAAAGTGGTTTTTATGTTTATTAAAAGTACAATTTGTTTTCTCAAACTTAATTTATGGAGGAGGATATAGTAATCTTTATATAGGGTCTGGCAAAAATAAGGCCTGCTTTGAGTGTGGTTAGTAGGGTGATAATATGGCTATAATAATTTATAGTTTTAATTTGAACATTTCACCTGAAATGTCATATGGTGTGCTTGAGTCATATTGTTATATTACAGAATTACATGCTTATGGTTTTGTAATAAAAGATTTTGTAATAAAATAGGGGCGTTATTTGTGCCAGACCCTGTTTTCTTGTTTGTTTGTTTGTTTTACGTGAATGACACTTGGGTTTTTGTTTTGCTTTTCAAGGTTCTTTAAACAGTGGTGTAACTTGATTTTTCTCTATCAGGCCTAAGTAAGTCCTGAGGATTGTGGCTTGTATTGATAGGTACAAAGGAATATTACAAAGCAGTGATTAGGTGCAGTACTGTCAGGCTTGTTGGAAACATTACTAATAGCTTGCTGAGAAGTCAAGTTAATTGTGTCAGAGAGGATCTCTGACTATTGCTGGGCTTCTTTCATTAATGAGAGATGACTAATGGTATTCTTTACTACTCATGTTCTAGTGATAATTCAGTTACCATGATCAACACCTCATTTTTATTGCAAGGACCAATTCAAAAATTTTTTTCCCTTCTAAATGTTCCAATGAAAATTACTTTAATATTTCTAGAGAGCCAAAGCAGTTCCACCTAGGCTCTTTCCTGTTGCTTCTTCTATCCTAAGCCCTTCCTTGTTTCCCTGGCCCCAGCTTTAATAAACATGCTTTCACAATTTAAATAAATAAAATTATTTTAGAATATTACACTAAGCTGATCCTGGGTTTTAAGCACACTAGTAGTGCAGTTCAAGAAACTAAAAAAATTATCATAACAATTACTATAGAAATTTAGTAACTTGCTTTAGAAACTGTGGTTGAGTCAACTGAGAGCATGAATTCTTTTGAGTTAAAGAATATAATTCTGCTTAAGCCTAACTTATTTTTAGCACTTTAGAATGTAAAAAGTTGTAGGATAGTTATAACGATTAAGTAGACTTCAATAGACCACTCTGAATTTAAATCTTCATTACATAGGAACAAACTGAAATAACTTCAGTTTGAAGTATTACAAATTAATTAGAATTGTTTACCATGATTTTTGTTCCAAATAAGCTCTTAATGATGATAGTTTATTCAGTATTATTAGGAATTGCATTACTAAGAATGTTACATTAGAAAAAATCTTAGTAAATACGTCATTTATCCTCTTATTTTTTCTTTGTCATATTTTTAATAATTATTTTTTAACTTTATTTTTATTGTTGACACTAGTACAGATGTCCCCATTTTCCCCACCTCCAGCTAGCCCCTCCCCCGAGGCCATCACCACACTGTTGTCTGTGTGTATGGGTTATGCATATGTGTTCTTTAACTAATTTCTTCTCTTTCTTTAAATGACAAGCATGGTATAATATATTAACAGTGGAGGTTAATAGCTGAAACTTTACATATGTGCAGTTACCTTTGCTATATGTAGACTTAAAATACTTTTTTCTCTTGACAGGAAATGTACAATTTTGAGGACGAGTTAACGTGTCCCATTTGTTATAGTATTTTTGAAGATCCTCGTGTACTACCATGCTCTCATACATTTTGTAGAAACTGCTTGGAAAATGTTCTTCAGGCATCTGATAACTTTTATATATGGAGACCTTTACGAATTCCACTCAAGTGCCCTAACTGCAGAAGCAGTATTGAAATTGCTCCAACTGGTATTGAATCTTTACCTGTTAATTTTGCATTAAGGGCTATTATTGAAAAGTACCAGCAAGAAGATCATCCACGTATTGTCACTTGCCCTGAACATTACAGACAACCATTAAACGTTTACTGTCTACTAGATAAAAAATTAGTTTGTGGTCAGTGCCTTACCATAGGCCAACATCACGGTCATCCTATAGATGATCTTCAAAGTGCCTATCTAAAAGAAAAGGACACACCTCAAAAACTGCTTGAACAGTTAACAGACACACACTGGACAGATCTTACTTGTCTTATTGAAAAGTTGGAAGAACAAAAATCTCATTCGGAGAAAATGGTCCAAAGTGAGAAGGAAGTTGTTCTCCAGTATTTTAAGGAGCTTAGTGATACATTAGAACAGAAAAAAATTTTTTTCCTAACTGCTCTCTGTGATGTTGACAATATGATTAATCAAGAATATACTCCACACATTGAAAGAATAAAAGAAATGAGAGAGCAGCAGCTTGAATTAATGACGCTGACAACATCTTTACGAGAAGAGTCTCCACTTAAATTTCTTGAAAAAGTTGATGATGTCCGCCAGCGTGTGCAGGTCTTGAAACAAAGACCACTTCCTGAAGTCCAGTGTATTGAAATTTATCCTCGAGTAAGCCAAGTATTGAAAGAAGATTGGAACAGAACAGAAATTGGACAAATAAAGAAACTTCTCATTCCTGAAATGAAAATTTCTTCAAAAAGAATGCCATGCTCCTGGCCTGATGATGTAAAGGAAGTTGAATTTTTTAAGATTCTAAACTCTGTTATAGTTACACTAATTTCAGTGATACTGATGTTGATCCTTTTTTTTAACCAACACATAGTAACCTTTCTAAATGAAATCACTTCAGTATATTTTTCTGAAATCTCTCTATATGTTTACCAAAGTTTATCTAATAGTCTGCATGATTTAAAGAATATACTGTGTCACACTTTATATTTATTGAAGGAATTTATGTGGAATATAGCTTTTCATTGACAATTCAGATACAAATTGTTTAAATAGGCTTATTCTTTACAGGGACTAACAACTATTGCTAAATGGAGAAATAGGGGTTACATGGATAAATAAAATAGCAAACTAAATTTTGTTAGAATTGCAACAAATACATAGAAATATTTTAAACCTTTCATGCTTCTGTGGAATAGAAATGTGTCAGGAATGAGGCAATATCTCTAGTTTTCAGTCTGAAAAGAATAAAATCTAGTGATTTCTTGATTTGAATATTATTATCCTATTTGTTTTTTATTGGTTAGAGAGGTTGACTTAATATTGCTGTGACATTAAAACATTCTGTGCCAGTATTGTCTTTTAGCATTAATAGTCTGTAGTGGTTGGCTTTGCAGTTCTTCATACATATTAGCTTTTAGATTAAAAGATGGTAAAAACCTGAAAGTGCCTATGCCTTTATTTTTGATGTGGTTTGAAACTTTTGAATGGGCAAATAAAGGTGGTGATGTTTTAAAATCAAGCAGCAAGGTCTAAAATGGTAAGGGATTGCTTAAATATTTTCTTTTTGTTCAAGTCTTTTATATTTTATTGATTGTGCTGTTACAGTTGTCCCAATTTTCTACCTTTGCCACCCCCAGTATCCCCTACTCCCTCAGGCAATCCCACAAATATTTTTCATGTACATGGGTCATGTGTATAAGTTCTTTGGCTACTTCATTTTCTGTACTGTACATCCTCATGGCTATTCTGGGACTACCAGTTTGTACTTTTTAATCTCCTTCACCCATTCTCCCAAAGATGCCGCACATCTGGCATCCATGAAAATGCTCTCCGTATCCATGATTCTGCCTCTGTTCTTTTTTTTTTTTTTTTTAAAGATTTTATTTGTTTTTAGAGAGAGAGGAAGGGAGGGAGAAAGAGAGGGAGAGAAACATCGATGTGTGAAGAAACATCAACCAACTTGATTGCTTCTCCTGCACCCCCAACCAGGGACCTGGCACACAACCCAGGCGTGTGCCCTGAGCGGGAATTGAACTAGTGACATTTCAGTTCGTAGGCTAGTGTTTAATCCACTGAGCCACACCAGCCAGAGCTCTGTTCTTTGCTTAGTTTGTTTTTAGATTCATTTGTTGATTGGTGTATGTTTATTGCCATTTTCTTATTCATAGTTTTGATCTTTTTCTCCTCTTAAATAAGTCCCTTTAACATTTCATATAATAATGGTTCAGTGATGACTCCTTTAGTTTTTTCTTTTCTGGGAAGCTCTTTGTCTGCCCTTTGATTCTAAATGATTGTTGGATAGAGCAATCTTGGCTGTAGTTCCCTGCTTTTCACCACTTGGGATATTTCTTGCCAGTCCCTTCTAGCCTGCAAAGTTTCTTTTGAGAAATCAGCTAGAAGTCTTATGGGAACTCCCCTGCAGGTAACTGCTTTTCTCTTGCTCTTAGGATTCTCTCTTTCTTTAACCTTTGGCATTTTAATTATGATGTGTCTTGGTGTGGGCCTGTTTGGGACTCTCTGTGCTTCCTGGACTTGCATATCTATTTCCTTCGGCAAGTTAAGAAAGTTTTCTTTCATTATTTTTTTCAAATAGAGCTTCACTTTCTTGCCCTTTCTCTTCTTCTGGTACCCCTATCATGTGAATGTTGGAACACTTGAAGTTGTCTTAGAGGCTGCTTACACTATCCTCGTTTTTTTAGTTTCTTTTTTTCTTTTTGTTCTCATTGGTGGTGGTTTTTGCTTCCTTATGTTCCATATTATTGCTTTGATTGTCAGCTTCATCCATTCTACTGTTGATTTCCTGTAAATTACTCTTTATTTCCATTAGTATAGTCTTCATTTCTGCCTGGATCTTTTTTATGCTGTTGAGGTATTTTCACTAAGTTCCTTGCACATCCTTATAACTAGTGTTTTGAACCCTGCATGTGATAGATCGCTTATCTCCCTTTTGTTTAGTTCTTTTTCTAGAGTTTTGATCTGTTCTTTTATTTGGACCGTGTTTCTATGCCTCCTCATCTTGGCAGCCTCCCTGTGTTTGTTTCTTTGCATTTGACTCTGAGTCTTGGTAGTGTAGCATAATGTAGTAGGTGCCCTGAAGGGTCTAGTGGCACAGCCTCCTCTGTGACCCAGTTTGGGTACTGGAGTTACACCCTCTGTGTGGACTGAGTACACCCTCTTGTAGTTGAGCCTTGATTGCTGTTGGCAGGTTAATGGGAGGGATTTACCCAGGCCAGTCAGCTGCAAGGACTGGGCGTGACCACTGACTACCAACCCCTACCCTTCTATAGAGGATCAGCTTTGCAGGGACAGGGTGGTGGTGTTCTGACATGGTCTGTAGCTGTCCAGTGGTGGTGCAGCCCAGGGTCAGCCACCACCTGTATTATGCCTGAGGCCACGGAGCATGAGCTACAAAGCAATCAGCAAATGGCTGCCACTTGTGCTGAGTTTGGAGGTTCCCAGGTGAAGCCAAACTGATCCAAAGCTAGCTGCTGCTAATGCTGGTGCTGGGGCCATTTAGCAAGAGGTATGGGGGGTGGGGGCTCACTGAGGCTGGTTTTTGCTTGTTTGAGAGGATTTAGGAAGATGTGAAGCCTGATTAGAGACCAGCCATTCATATATGTGGAGAAGCCACTGTTAACAGCTTGGTTGGGCCCTAAATTGGGTGGGCAGAGCCTCAGGTATTCCCCAGGGTGGAGCAAACTGCTAGCCAGGTTGATGGAATCTCAGATATGGCCCCTCTGCCTGTTGGCTTTGTCGAGGGGGAGGGCTCAGAAAAGGAATAATGGCCTCTGTCTGGGAGAAAGCTGTCCCCCAGCTCTCTCCCTGATGTCAGCCACTTCAGTTCTTCCCCATATGTCATGGGTGGGTGCCTTTCAAGCTGATAACCCCGTGCTGGAGCTCAGAGGGAGTGAGTGTAAGTAAGTCCCTGTGTGGGCCCTTTAAGAGGCACTTCTTGGGAATCCAGTAATCCTTTCACCAATTCAAACCCTGCTGGTTTTTAAAGCTCAAAGTATTAGGGGCTTATCTTCTTGGCATTGGAATCCTGGGTTGAGGGTCCTGGTGTGTGGCTGGGACACCTTGCTCTAAGACATCCCTCCTGAATTTTTATCCACCACATGTGGGTGGGGGACCAACCCATCTTGTGTCTCCGCGTCTCCGACCAGTCTGAATGGATGTGGTTTCTTTAGTCCCATAGTTGTCATACTTTCATTCAACTTGGTTTATGATGGTTCTGAGTGATGGGGGTTCTGTAGCTTAATTTTGATGTGGTTGTGCAAGGTTAGCCATGTTTACCTATGCTTCCATCTTGACTGGAAGTTGAAAGATGTTTTTAATCAAATATATCTGATCCACACATTGTGTTTTAGATAGATTTATTTAGGTTTAAAATGTTTATCAACAGTCACTTTTAATAAAGCTATTGCTTTTGGAAATATAAGTGTTGTTAGGGAAGAAACAGCAACATTTTCTAATACTTACAGTCTATGGTTAGTGTTAATTTATTTTAGGATTATATTTAACTTGTGTATTTTAGTTGTCAAATGAATTCTTGGATAAAAACTTTGAAACATGTTACTAGAACAATATATATTCCATTCTTTTCAGACTTGGACACATGTTAACTGTATTTGTCTTAAAAATTATCTTACTTGCCAAACATTCCCTTATTCTAATTGCAAAGTACCAATAATTTAACCTTATTTTGTTTAAAAGAGAGCCTTAAAACCAAGATGGCTGGCTGCATTAGGTTCATTTATGACCAGCATTATAATATACCTAGCACAATTAACTATTGTGTGGGCAAGGAACACTTGAAGGGTGTAATGGAAGTGGGGGAGATATATATTGACTCTAAAGTTGTATTGAATTTGATTAAAGTATTAGGCACAACACAAAAACAACATGTATTTAATTTTTTAGAAAAATTTTTACTGATTTTAGAGAGCAAGCAAGATACATTGTTTGTTTCACTTACTTATGCATTCATTGGTTACTTCTTGTACTGTTCTGACCAGGGCTCAAACCCACAACCTTGGTAAGGGGATGATGCTTTAACCAACTGAACAACCTGGCCAGGGCCAACATGTTTTAAATACATGTAAATATTAATAAGCACTGAAATGTATGTTACGTACCAGGCACTTAGTCTCACTTTTCTGAAGTAGCTATGAACTTTGTAAATGAAAAAACACACAAAAGTAATTTGTTCAAAGCCATGTAGCTAGTTATGGGAGACCCCATGCATTATTTTGAGTTCATGGAGTCGTGCTACTTTAAAGGATTTAAACCCTGGCTAGTATGGCTCATTTGGTTGGGCATCATCCTGCAAAGTGAGAGGTCACTGATTCCCGGTGAGGGTACATGCCTGCATTGCAGCCTGGTCTCTGGTAGGGGCACCTATGAGAGGCAACCGATTTTTCTCTCACATCAGTGTTTCCCTTTCTTTTTCCCCTCCGTTCCCTCTCTCTAAAAATAAAATCTTTGAGGGAAAAAAAGGAAAGATTTAAGTAATCAAGATTTTTATTAAATTGGGGCTTCTAATCTATTAAGAATCACAGCTGTAAATTGAAGCATGAACTTAATCTACATTTTTAGTTTGACTTTTTTTTTTTTTTTTAAAGTGGGACAGGTGAGAGGTGAAAAATACGGATGTGAGAAAAGTGTCAATAGGTTGCCTTCTGTATATGCCCCAGGGGACCAGATTTGCAACCCAGGCACAGCCGGATGGAACCTGCAAACTTTTGGTTCAAGAGATGATGCTCAACAGTGCCTTACAGCTGGGGTGTATAACATTACAACTTTGTAATTTGCCAGTTTTTAACAGACTAAAAAACTTTATTTTTTGATTTATGTAGTGTGTACATAGTTGAGTACAGGCATGCCTCATTTTATTGCACTTTGCATTTTTTTTTTTTTTTTTACAAATTGAAGGTTCGTGCTTAATCAAGCAAGTCTATCTGTGCCAACACTACAGCTTGCTGAAGGCCTAGCCCTTTTTTTTTTTACTTTAGCAATAAAGGATTTTAAAATTTAGGTATACTTTTTTAAGATGCTATTGCACAGAATAGATTGCAACATGTGTTGCATAAACATAACTTTCATATGCACTAGAAAACCAAAAAATTGTGTGACTTACCTTACTGTGGTGGTCTGGAAATGAACCTGCAGTATCTCCAAGTTATGTGTGTGTAGATTCTTAAACATGCTGTTCTCTTTTGCATTTTACCAGGATGAAATGGCAATATTTAAAGTACACATTCAAATTATATGTATAACAAAAATATATATTTTCATATTCTCTTGATATTTATATTGAGTGGCTTAATAAGGCACTCAGACTCAGAGGTGGTAACTTGAATTTTGATATGGGCTGTAGGTATCAGGTATTTTAACTTTTTAAAACTTAGTACTAAGCTCTCCTACTCCACTGGTTATTAAAATGCAGTAAAATATTTAATTCCATTCACCTCTACTCTCACCAAGGAAAAAGCACTTGATTATAATTATAGACTTTTCTAGTTTCTTTCACATAATCTTGATTGAGAAGAAAAAGACCGGGGTATGAGGATGAGCTGGCTGCAGCATCTATTGTCGGGGTTGCTTCTGCTGATCTGGCTGGCTAGGTGGATGTCCCCTTCCTCCTTCACTGCTCCATGTGTGTCCCCCCTGAAGTGGTACGTGCTTTGTCTAAGGCTGCATTCCCTTGCTAGAACCTCCAAACAAGCCCTCAAGGTCCTCTGTAGGATAAAGTAATTAGGCTTCCAGGACTCCAGACACATCCAACTGAGGTGCTGCATGTGGAAGTCTGGCCTGCCTTTTCGCAATGCAATTGAAATTAAAAAGCAAAAATAAAAGACTGTACTTGAGCTTCAGATCTTTATTTAAGTCCATGCTAATGTATTTACATTATGATACAAATCTTTGTTGGGTTTCTAGTCCCTAAATAATGCATTACTGAATAATGAGCTAATTAACTTTTAAGTCCTAAGATCAATATGTAGAAATTGAATAGCAAGAGTAAAGACTTTCAATTTAATACCCAAACTCCTGATAACCAAGTGTCTGCCAACTTATTTCCAGTGGCATATTTTTTGAGCTGATAGTGTCAAACACGCACGCACAAAACCCATGACAATTTGGTAGGGAAACAACCCTCCATCTTAATTTCCGTTTACACCATGGAATTTAACCTCTGTATATACTTCATTCTTTTTAATGAAGTAACTATAGTGGGTATTTCTTTTCACCATATGTACAATCCTAGTCATGTACATTGTCTCAGTTTGCTGGCCCTCTTGCAGTTGTTTTAAACATGTATCAAATTTTAGACAAGCACCTGAAGTATTTAAATTTTCATCCTTATAATTCAGAATGACTTAAAAAACATGTTCCCAGTGTATGAGTAATAAACAGTAATTGTCTAAATTAGTAAGTTAATTGGAATGCCTTAGGAATTTATAAACTAGTAGCCAGCAGGTTTTTGCACTGCAAGTCAAAGGTCCATGAGTATGATGCATCTTGGTAACATGAACTAGTTTAGAATTTAAACGTTAACTAAACATACTTTTAACTGTTGGTAGCAATTTGGGAAAAAGGCCAGCAACCGGACCCTCTACATCTTACTTTCTCTCTAGTCTGCGGCTGACAAAATTGTCAGAGTCTTACAATCTCCTAGAAGCAGGTAGAATATTTTATTAGACTTAACAGCATAAACTAGAAGCCAGTTTACATGATCAAGTTTAGGACTATGAATTTTATACAGTTTATAATCCTTCACAAAGAAAAAAAAATCAGTAATACAATACACTGAATCTATGCTGATTCAATTTGATGAGTCTTCTGTATAAACAAGTTTAACAAAGTCCTTAGATGCAATTTCTTTTGGGTTTACTGCAACACTTTTTGTTATATCGTACGTCTTATAAATTCCAATAAGTCTATCTGAAATCTCGAACATATTATTTCGAAGAGAAATTATGATGAACTGGGCGTTTTTTGTTTGTTCCTAAAGAGAAAGAAAGAGTAAGTTAGAAATGTTAAGTATTGACAGATATATCATATAATAAAGATCTAAACTTTACCTCCCTGCAATCTACGGGGTCTGGAACAAATAATGCCCCTTTTTTATCACAAAAATCTTTTATTACAAAATCATAAGCATGTAATTCTGTAACATAATAATATCACACTCAAGAACACCATGACATTTTTGCTGAAATGTTCAAATTAAAACTATAAATCATTAGACCCATATTATTACCCTACCAACAACACTCAAGCAAGCCTGCCTTCTGCCAGACCTTGTATTTTAGGCATTAAATTTATCAATACATCGATAATTAACAGGAACAGGAAAGATGAGGTAGATTATTTATGAAATAGTATTTGAGAGGAGTTTGAGTATTTTTGGAAGCATGGTTGCTTAGAAGTCTTTTAGTGAAAAAAGTTCTAGGCAGGATATAGAAGATTCTAGCTGTGTTTCTGTTACTAATACTATCAATTTATATTTTACTTTCCTCAAATGGAAATACTTGGTTCAAGTAAAAAACTTTGTTTCCTTTGGTACCCCAGGACATGGAGTTAGAGAATAGTTTAGAAAAAGCTCAAAAGTAAGAAGTCAAAGAATTCCGTGTGCAATGTTTGAGGAACCCATAAAGATTTTAAGGTAAGAAGCTCTAAATGATTACTTACATATATGTAAAATGCAACAATGGACACATTTTTAAAATCAAGGGCTGCATCAATCTCATCCATGAAGTACAGGGGAGTGGGTTTGTAGTGATGAAGAGCAAATACTAAAGCCAATGAACTAAGTGTTTTCTCTCCTCCTGAAAGGTTGAAGATCTTTTTCCAACTTTTTTTAGGTGGTCGAACACTGAAAGAATAAAATCTCATTAGTTGAATTATGTATAAAGCTTAAGACTCTGTGATTTGTTTTCCATAATCACCTTCCTCTGGAATTTCTAACTTGCTTTTCACAATTCTGAACTTTTTGGGGGTAATTTTATAAAAACATTATTGGAGGATGAACACAGGAGCATCTACCCAAACTTTTAAGATTTAAAAAGCAGGCTAGGAAGTGCTTGCTATTCTCCCATTTCCAATGCAATTTTTACAACTGGATGTTAAGATGGAAGTGTGGGGTAAACACGCTTTGCCTCTATGCACAACTACAGTAAGAATTACAACCAGACTACAAGTATCACCCAGGTTCGTCAGAAAATCGAGCTGTATGAAGTCCAAAAACCAAGGATTTAAAAAAGCCACATTCATCCAGACAGGTAGGAGGGACAGAGACTTGTGGAGGTGGAGAGGTGGCAGAAAGGAGAGCTCCACATTCATGGATTGTGGATAAATATCAGGAGGGATACCTCTGGAGTGAGGGATCCCAGCCCCAGAACAGACCACCCAGCCCAGGGTTCCACCACCAGGAAAGTTAAGTCCCCATGACTTCGGGCTGTTAAAACCAGTGGGGGTCGGGGCAGGAGAAGACACTGTGCGATTCTCAAGAGACACCTCTTTCCTCTTAAAGGGCCTGCATGAACTTAGGACTTACTCAGACCCACCCCCATTCTGGGATTTAGCACCAGAGCAACAGCTGGAATGGCACAAGTGGCATACAGGGAGGAAGTGAAATGTCAGTGCTGGGAGACAGCTTCTTCCCAGGCGATCTCCAGTGTCCAGGCAACAGCACTGTCCCCTCTGTGAGCCCCCACACAGAGCCACAAAGTAGTGAGGCTGGTTGTCCCACCCACCCTGGTGATTATATCTCAGGCCTGAGGGTAGAGGGTACGGGGTGAAGGGGGGAAAAATTGGGACAACTAATAGCATAATCAATAAAATACACTTAAAAACAAAATTTGCTGTTTGCCCAGAATTTATGCTCTAAACGGCCAATATGTATATAATTTAGTATTTATCATCAAATAAAACAAATTATGTATTTTCAAACTTCACATCTCACCTGTAAAAGAATACCAAGAGTCTGGAGAAAATACAGAGCTATGTAACAGGAGAATCCAGACTTTAGGGTTTGATTACAAACCTGAACATGATTCCTTCAGAGAAAGGATCCAAGCTGTCTACAAGCTCCAGTTCAGCATCACCTCCCAAAGTAAGCATTTGGTAATTTTCCTTTAATTTATTTGTTATTATATAAAAACCTGCCATGAATTCATTAAGCCTTTGTTTCCGAAGATCTTCATATGCCTGTCTAAAATTATCTCTTTCATGAGTAATTTTGTCCAACTCTGCTACCCGTTGTAAATATAATTCTTCCTATAAAAAGAATATCATGAGAATAAGCATCTATTCAGTTATAAATTTGAGATGGCAACATTGTTAAATTATATAAAAATTAAAGGCTGAGAACTAATAAGAATTTCTGATTATGATACATGCAGTTGAGTACCTTCTTTTTATACTCTGCAATGGCACCAAGGTTTGGTTTCATTTCATGACACTGGGCTTCCAAAAGTGCAATTTGATTTGTTATAGAATCTGGATTCTTGATTGCTTCAAGATCCTCTGGGCTCAGAACTGAAATCTCTTCAACAGGATTATTTTCTATGGGATGCAATGATATTTTTGAAATCTAAAAATACGATTAAATGAAGAGTTAAGGAGCGCATGGTACTACCATTCATTGTTTAAAAAGAGCCAAATCAACAATATGATAAAGAAATCAACAATAAGACAACTTACGTATCTACTAAAACAACATACCAAGGTTTTGTAACTAATTTGTGCATCAATTACTTTTCAAAGGACTTCAAGAAAAATAGATATAAAACAACTATGGAGCATTTTACACAATGGCATACTACTTGGCCATAAAAAAATAAAAGTAAATTTTGCACTGATGGATCTTGAGAACATTATGCTAAGTGAAGTAAGTCAGAGAAAGACAAATATCATATGATTTCACTTTATGTGGAATCTAATTAACAAATTGAATTGATAAGCAAAATAGACAAGACTAATAGCAGGCTGACAACTCTGGGGGTAGGGGTTAGGGAGTAGAGGGGCTGAGGGAAAAAGAAAAAGTGCTCATGGACATTGGCAACAGCGTGGTGATTGTGGGGGGGAGGCATCGGTGGAGGTAGGGGAGGGATAAGGGGGATAAATGGAAATAAAAATATAATTAAAAAAATAATTCTAAAAAAAGAGGGGAAAAGAAAGAAAAATAGGTGTAGTGTTCCAGTGTTCATGTAGCTTTCTATTAAATCTCCAAATCAGCTCTTGGATGAATATGTTGACTACTTCTAAAAATTACCCAGTTTTTCTGTATATAGTATTACTACATATTGTTCCTTATGTTCTTTATAAACCTGGGAAGTGATTATATCATGGAATTAAGAATCATAACATACCTCAAACACATACACAAAAAAACTGAAAAAACAACCATTTTTCATAAAGGATATTTTAAAGTTACATTTAACTAAATGGTAATAATCTCACCTCTTTTTGCCAATATCTTATTTTAGAATGATGTTCTGCAATGTGACCATCTATTTGTTCAAGTTTCAGTTTAATACTAAGTGCATCTTTTTGAAGAGCATGTTCATTTTCCTGAATTACTTTTAGTTCTTGAAGTAGATTACGATGTTCTTTCTGGATCTCCGGTAAGGACTCCTAAAAACCAAGAAGAACTACTAAAGATGTAACCTTCCCAAATAAAGTACAGGTATTTTCACATCACAAAGCTGAAGTTGGCAATCTCTCCCCATGCTTCTTCCATTTTTAAATTAAAACTTACTTACTCAAAAGTTAGAGCACAGCATTCATTTTTATTGTACAAATAAAAGTTAATATAGTTACAAGCTTTAACCTCACTGAGTGCTCGCTTATCAGGCAAGGGACTGATGTCATATATCCAATTCCTAAAACTGTTTGAAATGCCATTCTCTCCCTTCTCCAAGTCTTACCTCTGCAGCATTTGTATTCTTTATGACCTCTGCTGCTTTTTCCTCAAGACTTTTTAGCTCTGCTGTTAAGTCACTTACTTCTTTTGCAGTATCTTTTATTTCTTTTTCTGTGCGAAACACAGAATCTTGTGCTTTTTTAAGATTTCTGAACAAGCAAAATAATATATTAAAAATGTTGTACTGTGACTAATTAATCTGCTTCTTTAATCCTACCAAAGAATTTTTCATGACATACCAATGCAACTTTTTCTATTACAGATTTAAAAATTTATGATTTTCAAAACCACCCCTGAATTGGTTTGTGTTTATACATACACATATATTTCTGAATGTTGTATATTTTATTAAACTCTCAGTACAAATTAATGAAACCTCCTTATGTATAAGCTTCTAGTATAATTCAATCTTACACTATGAAGCAGGTTCAATTATTATATTCTTTTGTCACTTGTCAGATTAGAGATTCTTAAAGTCACTGCACCCAGGAAGCTATATATTGAAATAAAAATTACCTCCCAGTTTAAGTCAAGGCAACAAGTGCTTCCAAAAGGGTGTAGGGATGAAGGTTAGGCGGCACGCTGGAAGGAACAACTGTTTTCTCCCTTGATAAAATTACTTCTACTTTCACAAATGTGTCTAGGCAAAAATCTGCTCCTAACAAACGGCTTATTAGCTCTTTATCTTTGAACAAAAAGCACTGGAATAACTTAGTCACCAAATAATCAATATGCAATCACTTTCTTCTAATTTCAAGATAAGAGACAGCTGTTGACATTTCAACACTTTCATGTACATACTTAGCTTTAATTATTTTAGAAATACTTCAATAAGTAATCTAAAATTAATTTTAAAACAAGATCTATGAATGGATGAAAAAACTTTTTGTGACCTGGGACTATAGAATAATCTAGTTAATTAAGAATTTAAGTTACTAAGACAATTTTGCTAAGAGATCTCATTCTTAACTCATATTCTTCTAAGACTTACATATATTTAATCACCAACTAAGCTAGAGAAACAAAACTAATTTCAGTGTCCTCACAACTGGGGAGCTACAGAACTACACTCTGCCAAGGTGTACCTGTTTATCAGTTTAAAACAAAACAAAACAGGTCATATGATAAATGTTTATAGATTTCCCCTTAATAAAGTCCTATTAGGTAGTAACATGTCAGACAGATTTAGTAAGTAACAGTAATAGAAACATTTAATGGATATTGAAGTATTAACCCCCTTTCCTATGTTGAGGTAGGGAAGAGGAAGACAGGTTAGGGGAGTATGCATACTCTACCTGTCAGCAGTCTTGATTGCTACTTGGGCTTTAGTAATAGCAGAAGCACATTCATCTAATTGCTTATTTATTTGATCAAGTTTGTCCTGCTGGGCCTTGAGTTTATGATTATTAATTTCTACAATGATATTGTGTAATCTTTTAACCTCAGCTTCTATTTTACCAGCTCTCTCAGCCACCTTGTCATATTCTGAAATAAAAAATAAATAAATAAAACTTAATTCATGTTTCTAGGTTAACAAGTACCACTTATTGTATGTGAATTTATTCAGTCAATATGACTAACCTGATGTATTTAAAAGAAATTTTAGACATCTGGGGAAAAGCACCTCAAGAAAAAAAACAACAACCTGTCAAGACAAATGGTGTTATAACCACCATGGTAAATTCTCTGGCTCAGCTCTGAACATAACCCATTTATTTCTTAATGGCTTCATGCACTGAAGCTCTTTTCAAAGTTCTTTACGACTGTTTCTTAGGGTACTTTCTTGACTATTGGTCTCATAATGATTTTTCCTGTTAGACTATGTGCCCATTAACTTGCCAGTGATGAAGAAATTGTGGTCATTTTATTCTGCTAACCTAACTTAGAGTTTTCCTCCATGTGTTATAACAAGAAAGTGGGGGAGATATGGTAAAATTGGCACTCTTGTGTGGCACAGAAAGCTAAGTTACATTTCCTAGATTCCCTTGTAACTAGGATTCAGACGTCATTTAGGTCCATTCAATCAAAAGAAAATGCATTATTTAGGAGGCAAAAGTAATGAATCAACCATGTTTCTGTAAGCAAGCAGTCACAGGGAAGTTCTTGGTGGATTCAGAGGTTCTGGTGTCTAGTTGAAAGCTTTGAGAATACAGGCAGGGGCACTAATTTTGATGGTATAGATTATAGTGGGTGTAATGTGTGTCTGTTGTTGGTAAATTGTAGTGTTATCTTCCCAACTTGAGATTTGACTTTCCAACTGTAGAAGAGGCAGTATTGCTCCTTTGATGCTTCTGCAGAGTAGCTTTGGAAATTATTCTTGAATGTTCAAGCTAGAATTTCTTTAGCAATGCTAATGATTCTGTAAACAATCAACTACTTTCTTAAGTACACACATATGCTGTATACAAATCCTATTTAAACTGTCCAGAGTGGATTCTGTTCCATTTGAATATTAATCACTATACAATATCAGAAGGATGAAAGGGGACGAAAAGGTAAGATGTTCGAGCTATCAAGAATATCTATGTCTAGACAGGTAAACAAGAAACTGAGCTAAATTATGGAAAGAGATTCCCATAAAGCTCCTAGTAGGTGCATGGGCATTTGGCACAGGTGGAAGTAGGTAGGATTTACTGAGACAAAAGGGTTGGATAAAAAAATAACTGCTGCTTCTTTTTTGTCTCTTCTTTGTTAAGTAGGTTGGAATTTCAACCTTTCCTAAATCTCTTAACCATTTCTCTCTTTCTGTTCTACATTATCAGGTAATTCTTTAGCCTGATCTTTCAGCCCATCCACTGAGTTAATTCAATCAAATCTGTTTTTTAATATTTCTGAGACCACCATTAGGATCTTAAAAAAACAGGACAACCTGTTTTTTGTTTGTTTGCTTGTTTTTTTGTCTTTTGGATCCCCCTTTATCCTCTAAGGATATTAAATATACACATTTAATAGTTCTATATTGCCAACAGTAGTATTTTTTTTTCAGGTCTAAGATGGCTGAAATTCCATTAGATTGCCTGTGTGCCCAGCTTACCTGTAGGGCAGAGCACCAGCTGTAGTGGGGGCTGGCACCATGACTTACACTTGGGATGGGCCAGATTTGAGGCTGGAAAGGGTTCCAGACCTTTAGAACATTTTCTTCCACATTTTCAAGTATATACAGTGCATTTCTTTTATAATATCAATAGTAGCATGTCTATTAGAAGTAGGAGAAAAAAACTATGGCATATAAAATCTGTAATTTTGAAGTCACTATTCTATACTACCTTGCCCACTCTCCCTTACTCTATTTCTCTGCACATTAGCCAGAGAGATATTTTTAAGAACTGATGTAAAATAAGATATTTAATCTTAAAGAAATGCTTGCAGAAATGGGTTTCCAGGGAACACTATGCCAAAGTATACAAAATATGAAAATTAAGAGCATGGGTTCTGGAATGAGACTGCCTTGAATTCACACCACATGCTATGTGACTTTGGGCAAATTATATAAACCATTCTATGCCTTGATTTCCCTATCTTTCAAATATAATTCTCAATAGTACTTATTTAACCTTAATAGTACTTACTTTATAACCTTTTGAGATTGAAACAATAGAAACCCTAAAGCAGAGCAGTGACTGGCTGTTTTTAGCCTTCAAACTGCTATCTTAAACATTTCAAACATTAAAAACCTGTTTTTAACGATCTCAAAAAAAGGGTCCGTATCTGTAAACATACCTGTTTTGAAAGCACTAACATTTTCTTCTAGTAATTTCTGCCTTTTTTTGTCTGGGGCTGTAGCAAGTACATTAGCTTCAAGTTCCTTAACTTGGACATTCAAATATTCCTCTTGCTCTGACAAAGGCTACAAAAACAGTTTTAACATTCAAAGGTCAATATTATAATTCAGTAACATTTCCTTTAAACATTCTAAACTTAGGGAAAAAAGGCACTTAAACATGGACAATTTATATAAAAAATGAAAATGGCCAACAAACAAAATGATGGGTAAACTCATTACAAAGACAAGTTAAAATGTCATTTTCAGTATATGAAGAGTAGCAAATTTACAATGTTCTGAAGAGTACCCAGTGTTTTAAGACTTGGAAAAATAATTATTTGTATATGCTGTTTGTAATAAATGAATTAGAACAATCTTTCTGAGGTCACCTTGGCCTTATACAACAAATGCTTTAAACACTATACATATTGAGTAGCAATTTTTATTTCAGGAATCTAACCTAAGGAAATAACTGAGTGAGTATAAACCTAATAGGAGTATTTTAAATGTAGCAGTGTACATAAAAACATTTATCAAATTGTACAAACAAAAAGCTCTAATGCAACTACAAAGTAAATTTTCATTGGCTTAGAAAGAAAACCACAATTTCTTAAGTGAAGAAAAGTGTAACTCATTAAAATTCCATATATATTTAATATGTATATCCATGTTTATCACATACATAAACATGTATGCAAACTAGGCATTAAAAAGTTTAAGGATATACATAAAAATTGAGGGAGATAATCTTTTGAGTATTTTCTGAAAACTGTTTTTTGGTTTTGTTTGTGAGCTTGCACTGCTTTTCTTATAATTATGAAAACATTCCACTTTGAAAAAAATGAAAATAAAGGGTCATGTGATTGTTAAGGAAGAAACATTTCTATGGGGTACAAATGAAAACCAGGAATAGCTGTGGTCAGAGCAATACTGTGACAGAGCATTTAACCATTAGTACTCAGGGAAACAAAATCATTAAGAGACAGGCCTTCCAGCTAGAGATCCAGCCCCTTTCTCCCTTATATTTTAAAACCGCAAGCGAACAGCAAAGTGCTTCTGCCAAATTACTACTGAATTCCAATAGTTTCAGCTAATAGTAGTAAGAGTACCTGGATGCTTGCAGTAAACTTTTCTAGGGTATTCCTCATTTCTCGTTGACTATGCTTTAACTTAACTACGGCTTCTTCCAGTTGTACTTTCTGTTCCTGGATTTTCTCTGCTTTTTGAGAGTCTCTCTGCAACTGTGATTCCATTTTATTTACCTACAAAGAAGAGTACCAGTGAAGTAAGTTTTCTACAAGAGTATTTCAGATTAACAGCAAAATCAGTTGAAGGTACCCTATGCAAATATTTAAGTGAGAGGATATAAACTATTTCAAATATCAGGGGAAAAAATGAAGAAATGAAGGCATAACTCTTTGGAAAAAGTCAGGTATCCAGGATATCCAAGTATATGTTTTTAAGGATAAAAAAAGTAGAGAAAATGTTCTGAGGGCAATAATAGAACACAATTTACCCCAGACATTCTCATATACTTGTGGGCATATAAAATATTTTGAAATAAAACTTGAAAACATGATCAGAAGTCTCTATTATACTCATACCTTAAAAATTATTTTGAAACAGAAAAAAACTAATTATGTAATGCAGTAATAGTTATATGGAGGGGGAACCAAGTGCCAAACAGCAAGTGAATGGTTAAATAAGTTATGAAACAGCCATATGATTTAAATGAAATAGAATCATAATTAATGTTTTATTTTTAGAACTTAAGAGTTTTACACAAAATTCCACATCTTATATATTAGTCATTTATAGAAATTTGTTAAAATGTGAGTACAGTATACTTAAAATGGCTGAATTTTATAACATGTATGTTATGTATCAATAATTTTTAAGTATGACTGTAATTTTAAACGTGCCTACCTCTTCTTCAGAGATTTCAACAACTGAAGAACCCATTCTCCCTTTCATTACTTTGCTTCCACCACCAGTCATTGTACCTGGAGAAAGGAGAAGCCAGACTTAGATCTCTCCTGCAACAAGATTAAATAAAGATAGATTCAATAACAGGAATAACATATTACCTGACTGTTCTATGATTTGTCCCTGTAACGTTACCACTCTCCATCTTCTATCTTTTTGATATGCGACTCTTGTGGCTTGATCTAAGTTGTCAGCTACTAAGGTATCTCGTAAAGCAAAGTAAAAAGCTTGGCGAATTTCCTGATCTTTTACTTTTACTAAATCAAATAACCGAGGAGTATGTTCAGGAGTTTGAATTTTGGTCATTTTCTTTGCCCATACTGCCATCTGAAAGTAAAATAATAAACATATACATTTAAAAAGGATATATCATTTTAAGGGCATAAGTAGTATTCATGTAATATATGCAAGGTTCTAAGTATCTGCAGAGGTCTAGAACTATCAGTGGATGCCTAAAACTGTGGATAGTACTGAATCTTATATGTGCTATGTTCTTCTCTATATATACATACCTCTGATAAAGTTTAATTTATAAGTTAGGCACAGTAAGAGATTAACAACTAATTAAATAGAATGATTATAATTCACTATAATACAAGTTATGTGAATGTGGTTTCTCTGGTAACAGATCTGGCTGCTAAGTGAGTAACAGGCAAACAGCATTTAATTTGAGACAAAGGGGTGACCTATGTCTTGGAATAAAGTACAACATTTCATCACACTACTCAGAATAGTGTAAAATTTAATAAAACATATGAACTTTTTATTTCTGGAATTTCCCATTTAATGTTTTCAGACTGTTAACTCTTATTTTAAAAAAGAAGTTATTATAAAACTATCCCTTTTCAAAAATTACATGATCTTATATAAAATCCTAAAGAATGCCTCCCCACAAAACTATTAAACCTATTATGAGTTTAGCAAATTTATAGGATACAAGCCTGATATACAAAAATTATTTATATTCCTTTACACTAGTATTACAAATAAACCTGTAAAACTTATAAGCTTAAAAAAACCCCACATGACCTATTTACTGAAGGCTATGAAACATTATTGTATAAAATTAGACCTAAATAAATAGAAGACATTCCAGGTTCATGGGCTGTAAGATTTATTAACATTATTGAGACGGCAATACTATCCGAGCTGACCTACAGTTCACTGAAACCTGTATCAAAATTCTAGTCGCTTATCAAGGTTTGTAAGTTATATAAATCATTCTGTAAGTTATATAAATTCCTAATCATTATATTGAACACCCAAAACTAAAATGATATTATATGTCAACTATAATTAAAAAAATAGAAAAAATCAGACATATCAAAATTAAAATAAAATATGCTTCAGTGTGGCTGGCGTGGCTCAGTAGATTGAGTGCCAGCTTGCGAACCAAAGGGTCACTAGCTCGATTCCTAGTCAGGGCACATGCCTGGGTCGCAGGCCAGGTCCCCAGTAAGGGGTACATAAAAGGCAACCACACAATGATGTTTCTCTTCCTCTCTTCCTCCCTCACTTCCCATCTCTCTAAAAATAAATAAATAAAATCTTAAAAAAAAAAAAAAAAAGTGCTTCGGAGGTACCATCAAGAAAGTTAAAGTATTTGCAAATGATATATTTGACAAGAGATTTGTATCCAGAATATATAAAGAACTCTTACAACTCCATAATAAAGACAAATAAACCAATTAACAAATAGGCAAAGGATTTGAATAGATATTTCTCCAAAGAAGATAACTAATGGCCAATAAGCACATGAAAAGATGTTCATCATTAGTCATCAGGAGATGCAAATCAAGTACAATGAGACACTACTTCACACTCACTAACATGACTATACCAAGTGTTGGTGAGGATGTAAAAAATTAGAATCTTCATACATTGTTGGTAGGAAATGGTACAGTCACTGTGAAAAAGTTTGGTAGTTCCTCAAAAACTTAAACAGTTCACATGTGACCCAGTAATTCCATTCCTAGGTATTAATCCAAGAGAATTAAAATCATGTTTGCACAAAAAACTTGCACTTGAATATTCCTAGTTGCATTATCCATAATAGCTAAACACAGTAACAACAGAAATGTCTAATAACCGATAAATAAACAAAATGTGGTATATCCATACAATGGAATATTATTAGCAATAAAAAGAAATGAAGTACTGATGCATACTACAATATGGATAAACTTTGCAAATCTGCTCAGTTAAAGAAGCCATGCACAAAAGGCTCCATATTGTATGATTTGATTTATATGAAATGTCCAGAATAGGTAAATCTATGGTGATAGACAAACAATAGCTTCAAGGTTGCTTGGGGCAGGGCGGGGCGTGTGGGTAGTGACTGCTAACGTGAATGAGGTTTCTTTTGAGAATGATGAAAAAAATCTGGAGTTACTGAGGTCACAGTTAAACACAACCTTGTGTATACACTAAAACTCACTGAACTGTTTGTTAAAATGGTGAATTTTATGGTACGTGAATGATATCTTAATAGTTTTTTTTTTTTAAAGCAGTTATTGACAATGGAAATTAGAAATGCAAACTACCAGGCACTCTAAAAATGGAATGTATGAATCCTTTACGGGAGGCATTACAGATGTTTTTTTCCACAACCATTAACCCCAGAGCCTAAAATAATCCTCAAAACCTATTGGGTATTCACTAAATAACCATGAAGAAAACGCGAGGGGCAGGGGAAAACCTCATACACTTGGCACTTACTGATATTATGTGTAGATTTTTATGAGTACCTACCTTATCCAAACCTATAAAGGTCGCAACTCCAATATTGTGTCTTTTAAGGAAGTTTACACATTCTTGGGCTGTATCAATAGAATCAACAACAATGTAGTCTAATGCACGACAACAGGATGAAATAGCAACATCGTATTTTTCATCAATTGCTCCTAAGTCCCCCTAATATAAAAGGAGGGGGGAAAATCAATGCACTATCAGCAAGAAATTAGGCACAGAATCATCTCATAATTATTCATACAGATTTTGCAAATTACTCTTAACTGAAAAAACTATACTTATACATGGTTTTAAAAAGTACAAAAAGGGTACACAATGAAAATGTAAGTATTCCTGTCACTCAACTAGAGTTTTTAATCTACCTTTTAAAAGGTTATATATATGCAGTTTTAAATTTTTAATGAAAGCACAAAATGAAATAACTGCTCTCATTGCACAAAAATTAAGATATGAAAATTTGAAACCTAAAATACAGATGAAATAACTTATAAAAATAACAAAACTCTAAATTATTCAAGGCCATCTAATATTATGAGTCCTAATGAAACACATTTGTCTGTTTATCAATCTGTTAATGTATTAGCTATCAAGAAGCATTCACTGACTAGCTTTATTTTTCCTTGAGAGCAAATAAAACACCAGAATTTATTTATAAAAAATTGTATATTTATTCTCACATACTTAAACTTCAGTCACCTTTCATTTGATGAAATACACCGATTGAGGTGTTTTTTTCACACTGCTCAAAACACCTATTTAGAATTAAAAAAAAAAAAAAAGATTTTATTTAGTTCTTAAAGAGAGGGGAAAGGAGGGAGAGAGTGAGAGAAGCATCAATGTGCAAGAGATACACTGCTTTGTTGCCTCTCACCTGCCCCCGATTGGGGAACCCGCCTGCAACCCAGGCGTGTGGCCTGACTGGGATTTGCACCTGTGACCATGTGGTTCCCAGGCCAGTACTCAATCTACTGAGCCACACCAGCCAGGGCTATCTTGACGCCTTTTAGTGCTTCTGTTTTTTGTTTTACCTCTTCCACACTGGCAAAACATTTCCCTTTGAGGACTTTTTCCATCCAGGGAAACAAAAAAAAGTTGCTACAAATGAGATAGGGTAAATACGAAGGGTGAGGTACAGGGGTAATGCTGTTTTTTTTGGTCAAAAACTGCCGAATACTCGGTGTGGACAGATGTGCTCGTAGCTCGCCCATCAAGAAATGGGCAAAGGCGTTGAAAGTCTTCAAAAAAATTCACTGAAGCTGAACACAACCTCTTACAACAACGCCAGCTAGACACTGATACAGACAGATGGGTTCCCAGAGCACTCACTTAGTAGGGAAAGCCTATACTACAGGGGGCCTGCTCTCCAGAAAACAATTCCATTTTTTTTTTGGCGGGGGGAGGTCTCCCTCTCACAGGATTAAATTGTGTAACTTTGAGAAAATTTGGTGGAAGTCATTTAACATTTAGACACAAGCAACTATGCTGGGTAATTTCCATTTGCCCTTGTCATCACTTTTTCCTGCTCCCTTCTCTGCAATGCTGACTCAGGGATTGCATCAACTGAATGGAGTTAAAATATACATTATTTCCCCCATTTCTTCCTGGCCACCCTCTAGCCACGGCCACAGCATCTTCCTTCCCTCTTTGGTCTCAGGAGCGGGAATAGTCTCCACTATTGCTAGCCTTGGGTTTCTGAGTATCCTCTGCTGATGTCCCTCAACTCTAGCGATATCCTTTGGTACAATGGTATAAAACCCAGAATATAATTCATCAAATCCCTTAAAAAAAAATAAAAAAAGAAAAAGAATAGAGTAGCTTTGTTATCACTACTAAAGTTTGTTTTCTTCCCTTGAAATTAAAATGATTATAATTACCCAAATAAACAAAAAACACTATTTTTAGTAAGAGAGAATCCATACTACAAAGAATTTTACTATGCTTGAGTGTAAGAACACAATGTTTAAAAATGTCTTTTCAAACAAACAAAAATGAATGTTATTTACTTCAGTGGCACTCAGTAGTTTCTTTAAGTCAAGGTAAGAAAATTATTTACAGTATTTTCTTGAGAAAAATATATAGTCATGTCCAAATAAATCTACTTTACCAATCTTCCATATATTCCTGGAATCCTGCCAGATTTCTTTTCTTGAATTATTGCATCAAGAACTTTCCCCCTACTTTGATTCATTGCTAAGGAACTCTTTGCCTCTTCAACTTTTTGGAAAAGATCACGAATCAAACTTTTGCAATTTACTTCTTCTTGTGTAAGTTTTTGAAGTTCCTTTTCTTTCTAAAAGTGAAAGGTTAAAAAAAAAATAATGAATCCCATAATGCTATGCCCAATCACAGCATAGTGTTAGTTGTAATGCTTGAAAAAAGAAAGAAAAGACAGACCAACAATAAACACTTGAACCAGAACTAAGTGACCATACGGCGCTACTCGTTTGGTTTTGAAAAAATATGGATGCATTTTCTGTTTTAATAAGGGCATAAATTATTTGGGTCAATAATAAAGAGCATAAATGCAGTATGTAGGAGCATTGATAGAGCAAGTAGAGCTAGAGCTGTGGAAATCCCAGTTTGGAACCACAGTTATGTGTAAGTGTGTCCTAATTCTTAAATTCTGCACTAATAAACAGACTCTGGTATAGGACTCCCGTTATGGGTGACCGGGCAGGACTATGATTATACTGTGCTTTGCTTTCTAAATAGTAAAGAACATTATTATTATATTTAATTAAATAAAGAAAAAAACTTCAAAAAAGCACAGCTCTGAAATGAAGGGTCACATGATGACCAGACAGTACTACTACTATACAAAAATGTCAGGCTGCCAAAAGGAGAGGAACCACACACATGCACACAAAAATTCAAATTCTCAGTTGCTTAATCTCCAACTTAGAGCAGCCACTTCCCTCATCTCCTTTAAATTATGACCTCTATTACTAATCACACTGGTATAAAGAAAAAGCTCAGTTATAGCTACGATTTATCAAAAAATAAACTGAATTACTAGGGAGATAGAAGTGGTTACTATATATATAAAAGTTTACATTTAAATGGTACATCTTCAAGAAATTCCCCAATGACCAAAGTGTATACATTTACTAACATGGAAAAACAAACACAGAACAAAAACCAAAATGTTATTTCTCTTCAGACTGCATTTTCTATTGCCATCTTATCTAATGAGGCTTTGGAGATTAACGTTAGGAAATTACTTAGATATATAAGTCACTCAAGACAGGAGGGGCACCAATGGGCTAAACTAGGTATTTTCATACCTAGTTCAAAACAGCTTGTAGTTCAAAGAAACCACATCCATAAATTTCAAAACAGAATACTTTAAGATAGCTGGTTTGCATATTCATCCATAAATACATTTATGGTTTTCATTGTTTTGTGCATAATTTGTCTACGCTTAGATTTAGGGAAACACAAACTTTCTTTTGTTTAAATTATTTCCATGGGAAACAGTGGTGGTGGTAGCAGTGTTATTTGCTGTTCGGTACCAGTTTCTTGACAGTCTGTTCGTATCAGTTGGAACACTGAATTTTAACCCCCCTCTTTGGGCAAAGATTAATGCTAAATGAAAAAACAAACAAACAACAAAACCCTATACAGATGCTCCTTGACTTACGATGGCATTATATACCAATAACCCAATTGTAAGGTGAAAATGCCATTAAATCAAAAATGTAATATCCTAAACCTACTGAACATCATGGCCTAGCCTACTTAAATGTGCTCAAAACATTTACGTTATCTTTCAGTTCAGCAAAATCACCTAACACAAAGCCTATTTTATTATAAAGTGTTGAATATCTCATGTAACTTACGTGTATCGTTTTCACACCATTGTAAAATTTAAAAAATCTTAAGTTGGGGTTAAGCTGATGAAGATGTACCATCTGTATACTAGTCACTTCAGATGTTGAGATAAAAAAGTAATCATTAAAAATATACACAAAATTTGGGTTGACAATGTTCAGATGAAATACAGAAGCAAAGATTTACCTCCTTTAATTCATGTTCAGTGTGAGGGAGTTTCGCCTCTATATCAGCGATTGCAGCTTTTCTTTCTTTGAGAGTCTCAGAAGCTGCAATTAGAGCTTCCTTGGCTTTACTTAACTGAGACACCGCAGTATTATGCCGACTGAGATAGATATCAAGTTCTGATTGGGCTACATCCATCTTTGAACGTGCATCATTTACCAATTTGCTGAAACCCATGAGTTCTTTCTCTTGATTCTGTTAAAATATGATAGACTCCATTAATTCTGAAATACTATGTTTTCAAAACTAAACTGAAATAGAAGCCATGTATTTTTAATTCAATTTAAGAGATTATACAAATGGAATGGACTAATAGATTTTGCTTAGTTGCCAGTGTTCACTGTACATAGTCTTTCCCCAACTGATTTCTTAAGAGCTCAATGAGGTATATGTTAATATGCTCATTTCAGAAATTAAAACTAAATAATGGTTAAGAGAACAAAAATTTGGGTCTAAACTCTCTATGCACACACTATCTTACCTGAAATGATAAGGTTTAAGGTCTGTTTGTTCAGCAAAAAGTTCCAAAATTAGTCATTTACTTGATGAGTAGAAATTTTGGGCTACTATAATGGACTGTGTAGAAAGAACTTATTTATTAGAGTAATGATTCATAAGAAAGGCACTTACGAAAGTCTGACCCCTTCATTTCATACATAGAGGAAAAGGCCCATAAACACCAGGTTCTGTCCAAGGTCATCATATAATCAGTATAAATGTTTGATGGTGAAAATCATGAACACAAACACACACACTTCACTATATTCTAGATGCTATTATGAATGGTAGGTGTTAATTCCTTAATATAATAATCCTATGAGGTACATACATCATTATGTCCATTTGAGGAAAGTGAAATCAGAGTTTGAATAGCTTGCTCAAATGCACTCATAAGTGGCAGAGCCTGTTTTTTGCACTATTGCACATTGAGGAATGAAGACACCTGGATGTGAGTCCCAATTCTTTTTTTTTTTTGGTTTTAACTAACAAAGGGTGCAAAGGTAAATAAAAACACTCAATATACATTAGATGAGCAATGTGAAAATCTATATCCACAAAGTATTCCATTATGAAAGCTGTTTTACCCATCGCCACTTTACCACATGGGTGTCCTACTTATAGTTTTATAATGTGACATTAGGACATGTCCATATTCCAAAACAGACTCTATTATGTCTAAAATTTAAAAAACTAAAATCACTTTTTTGAAATATAATTAACATACAAAGGTTATACATAACTCAATTTAACTCATTTACTATTATCTATTAAAATATCTAACATGCTCAATGTTCTCAAAAAGACTGAATATAAACAAAGACAGGTACAATTTGTGCTTGTAATACTCTTGTTACGTACATAAGTCATAACAATGTGACAACCACACACTTATTACATTAATGAGGTGCTACTGTAATAGCTACCATTTCTTAAATTCAAGGCATTTACATGAGTGTGTGTGTATTTATATTTTATTTTCACAAAGATTCATAAGATAGGTATTTTTTCCACTGCTTTTGAGGAATATGACTTGGAGATATAATCTGCACAAGATCAGAAATAAGTTACTGACCTAGGATATGAACCAAGAACTGGCACAAGGGCCAGAGTTTTAAAGTATTACGTAAGAGCTATAGAAGCAAAGAAAGGAGATGCTAACCTGTGATTAGTGTGGCCCCAGATTTTTATAGGTGGTAACCAATTAAGTTACTAAGAAAATAACTTAAGATGGAAAAGAAAATCTGATGATGAAATGAACAGGCTCAACAAAGAATGGCATATATAACAAAATATTTGACATGGTACATTTTCTGCAACCATTATAAATTCTCATTCAGCTAATTTTTTAAAAAAATGGGAAAGCAGGAATGAAAAAGGGTGTGCACTATTTTTAGGAATGGTAGATTAGATATTAAAGTCCAAAGTTTTTCTTCTAGAAGGTCAGTTTTTACTATTACTACAAAAACATTTGAGTTAAAAAAAATCCACCAAAATAAACACCAAGTGATAAAAAAAATCTTACTTCTTTTTCTTTCTGAAGTCCTTGTGTTTCCTGTTTAAGGCTATCCATAACTTCCTTCAACTTTTCTTCTTCTTTCTCTTTTTCCTTCTCAAGGGCATTCTTTTTAGTTGTTGTCTCAATTATGATATTCTCACTCTTGGCAGGTATATTTTCAAATTCTTCTACCTAAGATTATAAAACAAAGTTGTAGGAGCACATGCCTTTAGGCTGTCGAGCACTATTAATATCTGACTCGTTTAAAAAGTGTTTCTCAGGGTCTTTCAGGTCTTTGTGGTTTTCTTTGTAATTAGATTTGAGTTAGTTGGTTTCAGCAAGTACTTTTCTCCCCCATCTCTTTGATAGAATTTATTGGCAAAAGGATATCAGCAAGTACAATATCTTCTTAACCATTTACTGACATTTCTATATTCTCTTAGTCTAATGGTAAAGCTAATTCTATGAATTCTTGATTGCTTATGAAGAAAATTCTCCCTGCCTGTACATTAGGTATTTCTTCCTTCTGTTCCAATTTCAGGTGATAATTATCCTTTCACTTGTTAAAATGCTCTATGAGATTTCTTAAACTATCCGTCATGGTATATTACAGCTTACCATGAACTACTTTTACACCCCTCAGCTTCCCTCAAATCCTAAGATCTTTCATGACTTTACCCTTCCAGAGTCACCATGTAGGACTAATATTTTATTCCATTACTACTTTCTGGTAATAACTACTTACTCACATTTGATGTCTAAAGGCCAGTCCCTCTGTAAAGTTACATTTGGCTATCTGTCCAATTTAGGGGTTACTTTCAAATTTATATGGTATGTTTTGTTTATTCTGATTATCTAGTACAGAAGTTCAGCATTTTCCTAAATGGTATTCCTCAAACACTGATTTCATGTAAAGATTTGTTGTTGTACCAAGCAGAACGTATTTTGTGAACAAATGCATTTAGAAAATGCTTATACGGTAAAGCAAAGCCTGTATTATAATTACTGTGAGGTTACATGGTAAAAAGCTGTTTGGGAGCAGGGGGATTAGATGTCATATCTATTAGTATCTCATAGAGCTTTGAGCATAATTTGAAAGACCCCATATTAATTGATAATTAGAGTCTGGCCCCTAGCAAGTTAGGCATTCTGGTCCAAAGTCATTTTTGGTCAAACTCTGTTGTAAATTACCAGATTCCCCTTCCCTTCTTTTTAAGTAGGAGCTCAATTTAATTTTTGTAGAAGGCAGATAATATGTTTAATTTAAAACACATAACTAAAAATGTCTTTTTCTCTTTTAAAAGTTTATTTTTTTATTGGTTTTTTTCCCCATTACCATTTATCTACTCCCCTGGTGCATCTCTCCCATGCACTCCACAATCACCACGCTATTGTCTGTATCCATGAGTTCTTTTACTTTTTTGCTCAATCCTGCCACCTCACAACTGCCCTCTCTGCACTACCCTAAGGGAGACAGCACATTATTTTATCACGAAAACAGAACTGCTGATTTGGTAAATGTTTCCCAACAATGTATATCATAGAAGCACAAGCTCTAAAACTCAAAATCAATGAATGTTAAGATTCCTCCTTGGGGAAAATAATCAGGTTCAGACAGAAATCTTAAAACACTTAACATTTAGAATTTCAATGCATTCTGTTAGGTAATAGGGGGCAAGCATATCAATGAAAAAATTTAAAAAAACTATATCTGATATGCAGATGTTAAATATTAAAGGTTTTCTTTAAACCTACCTTTTCTTTATCTTTTTGAAGTTGTTTCTCCAGTTTTTTGGCCTTACTTGAAGCATGTTTTAATTTTTCCCTAACTTGAACATCTTCCAAATCTAGTTGTGTAAATTTTTCTTTGTTCTCCTCAATATATTTTGTAATTTTATTGAGTTTCCTAACAAAATGAGAAAATTATCAGTCACTATTTTTGATATTCAGGTATTTGGAGCCATATTATATACCTTGCCTGGGACATTTCCTCTATAAATGTGTCTAAGCTCTTGTAAGGTAGGATCTGAAAATAACCTATTTTCAAGTTGACCCTACCTTACCCTGATATATGAGGAAGCATTATGTGATTATGAAAGTTATTTTGTCCTCCAAAGCTGGATGATAAATACATTTTCCAGAGACTATGAAGTCTGGGTATAAAAAATCTTTATCACAAAAGCAAAACTTATTTTCAAGAAGTATCATATAAGAGATACTGGTTTCATTAAACATTGGCACAGAAAAAAGTCATAAGCAAAATTTTAAAAATATCTAAGATAACCCCAATTCTACCTCCAATAGATTTGTGGCCTCCATTCTTAAGACAATCTGTCAGGTTACACGGGCTTATTTTTGCTGTGATGTTTTGTGTTATGGAGTTCTGCCACAAGGGGGTAGTATCCTCCATTACTTTAAGATCATTGAGCACTTGAATCTGTAAAAATGACGTGCTGGATGCAGGGCAATTGAATTTTTTGTTTTTGTCTGCAAAAGGAGACCATTTTATATGCTGGTAAATGTATTATACTCATGTGCTGCCAGTAAGTTTATATATAGACACACACATATAGGTAATAAAATTAACTGAGTTAAATACTTCTAGTACTTTCCAAAAAAATTATTACTTCTCTACATCTTTTACAGCTTTATTCTTAGCTTTCATTTCATTTGATAGTATACTGCTCTTCTCATTAATTTCTTTGGTATCTTCATTAATTTTTTCCTTTTGAGTTTCCATTTCAGCAACTCGTTTCTGCAGATCATGACTAGAGGGAGGAAAAAAAGAAATTGGAGATCCTAAAATGCCATTTCTAAAATTATGTAACTATTTTAGTAAAACCAGCTGTTTCTAAAATATTCTTAGCTACAGTCATTTTACAGTTACCTGGGGCTATCGGGGGATGTGTGTGGAGGAAGGGGGAGACAACCAACCCAGGGTCAAGACTAGAATTAGGGACTAAATAGGTTCTATATAAACAAAGTTAGATCTGTCACATGAATTAAAAAGTATATTTGAAATTATTAAGTATAGTAATAAATACTTGTGAACCCACCTCTCAACTTAAAGTAGGCTACTTAAAAGCCTACTTCAATACTATAGTTAAACAACCCTGATTTAGTGAATTCATCACATAAAACAATTTTTAGATTTTTTTTCCAGTTTTTACATCTCTAATATAGAAAAAGAGAAGGGGTCTTGGTTTAATGTCAGAAATATAAAAATTAATAAAGGTACTTACATGTAATATTGACAAACATGATTCTTTTTTCTAAATATTTCATTTTCCAAGGTAAGAAATTCAATTGCTAAGTTTTTCTCTCCTTCTAAGGCATCTTTTTCCTTTTCCACCATCTTAACTCTGTTTAACTACAAAATTAATAGTGTGTAGATTGTTAAAATACACTTCAAAAGTAAAATCTGAACTTAAAATATGCCAACATTAAAAACATATAAACTGTTAATAAAAATATAAAATTCAATCTAAAATACTAAACATTTTCCAATAATTATGATCTATTATAACTTGAATATTTACTTCAGTAAAATCAGTTAATAAATGAAACATTCTGATTTACAACAAGTCTACAAAAGATTCACCTTCTCTCCTCTGTGTTCATTTAATATTTCAACTCTCCGACACAAGACTTTAATAGGTTCATTTAGCCGTCCACAACCAATTATATCTTCTAAATATTCAAGCATACCCTCATCTTGTTCAGTCTGGCCTTTCGGTTTCATCATAGCAATTTGTTCAACTTCACCCTTTAAAAAAAGTCACATTTCACATTCATTTTGCATGTTTAGCTACATCAACCTTTGAGATTTAGGAACAATTAACAAATCCAACAGTAATAAACAAACAAATGTGGTAAATCAGTAGCTTAGAGATTTAAAAATATACAAAAACGTTCTCTTCACTGATATTTTTCTTAAAGAGTTTTAATTTTACATAAGAAATGCATACTTACACTTACATAAACTCATATAATATACACCCACATATACACACAGAGGTAAAGGAAGATTCCCCACCAAAAATGTTCATTCAATATAAATAAAACCATTAACTTTTCTATTGCAAGATTCAGCAATATTATTAATATAATCTACAACTCAGATACTGTGGCAACATTATCAGCTCTTAAAAACATAATAAGAGCTCCTGTTTTAAAACCAAGAATTTTCAAAAACACCCCTCATGGTTATAATGATAGGAATCTTATCCCTAGATGGCTAGTATTACTAAACTTGCTCTATAAATCCAGTATTATGAATTGCTCAGCAAGTGCTGGGCTTCATAAGAATGTCTCAAACCTAATGTTCTAACTTTCTAAAAACAGGACCATTAACTGGAAAAGGAAATTACCTATTTCTCATGGTAACATAAGAAATCCAACTGACTGAAAACTAAAAGTCCTGATACAAGACACTGACAAACTTTTGTCTGCAATCATCCATATAAAACTGAATTGTAATTAAAATCTTAAGATTAGCATTATGCATTAGTATTTATGCCATTTATTTACAAAGAGAAAAGAGGAAAAAAATCTACCATCAGTAACCTTCAAGACTGGCTTGCAGGCAGCCATTTGTTTGATGGTGGAGAAAATTTTGTGTAAATATGCTCAGGCAAAATGCTGCTACTTTACTTCATGGAAGTAGCCTGCTTGAACTCTATACTATTACAACAGAAGAAAAAGGACAGGCAAGTATGTCGGGGGGGAGCGTGGGGGGGGGGCACTTTTATTTCAGAAAACCGGTAAGGATGAAAAAAATTAAGAAAAAAATTTACACATTCAAAAGAACATACTATTCTTTCTCTGAATATTTAAAATATTTATTTATGAATGCACCCTAAATATTTGAGGTAAAACTTGCTCATGAAGAAGCATCATTACCAAAAGTTTTAACATAATTATGAAAAATTAAAAAAACCCTCAGTTTTAATCTACTCATTGAAAGGCATAGTTTTTAATATTTATTTATCATCATCACATTTTTTACTGACAACCCAGTAGCACATGATCATCAAATACAAAGTGAAAGGTTATCCAAAGAACCTGTTTAGATTTTCTATAATCTTCAGTATGCATGAATTAGTGTTTTTAAAAAAAATTAGTGTTTAAAATATGTAGATATTTTATCCTGCTTTCAATGATCAGTTCTTTCTAAATATTTGCAGCAATAGTTTAAGTTTTAGACAAGATTTAAACCTGGAAAAACACCTAAAGCTTTGGATTACAACAGGGTGAATTCTAGCCATTGAATAAGTCAAGTCTTATTATCTAGGCATGGTTTACCAAGAGTGACATTTTGTGCTAGATATTTTGTGTTGTGGAGAGCTATGCTGGGCATCTTAGTATGTTTAATAGCATCTCCCCTCTCCCAGCTATAATAATCTAAACTGTCTCAATGCAAAACTATCCTCAGCTGAGAAATACAGATCTATTGTTTAAATCTTTTCGGTTATCCAAGTAACAAATATAATAGCTGCCGCCTGACATTAAAACTATGCCAAGAGAACCTACATATGAGTCAAGTGGTCATATCATTTAAAACAGTATACATTTTTTTAGATAACCAAAAGTAAAGATTCAGTACACCAGTTTACACTGATGAATATATTCCTTAGGCATCACATTTTTCCCGGCCAAATTACTTATTAAAGAGATGACATACACTATTAGGAGAGTGGCTAGCTTTGGGAATAGTGGTTACTTGTTTTTGGTTACTTGTTCCTTCTCCCTCTACCCGCAATTAAAATGAAGGATATAGAGCTGTAATTTCTTTTCATTCTAACAAGGTTGCCCAGTTGCAAATAAATATTAAACTGAAAAACAAGGACATTTATGAATCAAAATAGTTCCATCTCAAGTCCCACATAACATTAATTTTAGATCGTTTTATTATATGGCATTCAAAAAAAAAAAAAAAAGAATTTTAAACCAGTTATCAGATTAGCACTACTGAATCAACAAGTCACTGGAACATTTAGACCTCCCGTCACTTGGCTGTTAGGACTGCTCTGGTACTCCAGTCATAACCCGGGACCCTTTCTGTGGCTGTCCTTGATGTCCTTTGCCCCTCTTTACCACATGCTATTATTTGCTTACTTGATTCTTTTTACATTTTGTGCCATTTCATATAAAGTCTGTGAGTTGATAGTCTGTGCCCAGATGACCACATCTCTGTTTTTAAAAAATCTTACCTATCCCATAGGAAATTATAAAATATAGTTTTAATTTTCAGCACTAAGCTCAATACATTTTGAGATAATTTTAAAGCATCACCCTGAATTTAAAGTCATCCTTCCATATCAAGGCTCACAAATAGTGGTGACATAAAAAAGTTTCAAGTTGTTACAATTCTAGCCTCTGAAGCTGACAAAGCTTTATATGCCTCTATACTGTTATTTCTCATTTCTACATCTTATGTATACTAAACAAAATTTTAAACAACTTTTTTTGCTGTTATTTACTATAGACTGTTTTAAATTATGTTCAGACTGTATCAGAGACATTAAACTGTGGAAAATGTCAACTATGGTTTTTAAGAGTAACAGAAATAGCAATCATACTTCAAGAGAATATTTATAATACAAGGCCTTAAATCTTAACTAATTGAAGTGGGTGGCAAACCAGGATATTGTGATTCAGCTATACCATTCTTTGACAATATAACTTAGAGAAATTCAACGTAAAAACCCAAGAGGAATGAATAGATACGATGTTGTTTATTCTTATTCCATGAAATCCAAATTCTAGCAAAAGCATGAACCACAAAACTCAAGTATATAATAAAACTTTTTTCTCCTAATAAGGCCTAAAATATTCTTAATATAAATATGGTATTTGTATCAAAATTAAATGGCCCACAATTACTGAACTTTAAATTTTTATCTTGCCTTAATCTTTTTTCTCCAATCTCACTGTAAACTGTACTTTATCTTACTCCAACAAATTTTATTCCAATTTGCTCTTTGTGAACTACCAGAGACCAAAAACCAAAATCACCAAGGTTAGTAGTTAGTATCTGTCTTAAATAAGTACATAAATAGGGCAACGCTTTAGAGCAGCGATTTTTCAACTGGTGTGCTGCAAGAATTTCTGAAACATGCAATATCTGACTATGTAGTCAGGAGCACTGACCTGTTTTCCCTTAGACTGTTAAAAAAAAAAAAAAAGAAAAAAGAAAAGGGCCACCACCAACACAATAGCTGTCTGGTGTGAATGAATCCAAATCATACCTATTTTTTTGGTCAGATCAGCCAAAAATATATTTTTTGGTGTGCTGGAGAATTTTAGTAATTAATTCATGTGTGCTATGAATGAGATGAAAAGGTTGAAAATTGCTGCTTTAGTGGGTGGATGGCTTAGTATCTCTTCTGGTTGCTTATGGGTAGTCTATTTTCTTTCAAAGTTGAGGCCATTGAACAAGATACTATTGAATAATTAAGGTATTGTTGATAAAGTAAAAAATTAATTTCATCTAGCACAGACTTACTTCTACAGGCTAAAGGACTAGAACTCAAATAGCTTGCAAGCCATGCCAGGCTTAGAACTATACCAGAAAGGAAGAGATGGATAGGTGACAACTCAGACCCAACTTAATCTAATCTCCAAATTATTAAACAGTAAGAAAAAATATCCGGGTTCTTGTTTGAAATTTTAATTCAGATTTTATAATAGGAACACCAGACATATGAGGTAGAAAACTTTGACAAAACTAAAATTCTGTTAATAGTTGCAGTACAAACATGAAAAGTACAATGGTCAACTATAATCTAACACTTTTTGAAGGCAAGTATTAGTGTCTCTAAGGACAAGAACAGGGTTTAACCACCTCTGTATCACTTATAGCATCTCAGCATAGTACCTACTGAGGTACTCATTTGAGTGGTCAACTGATAAAATGTACCCTATGGATTTCTGTTGATCATTACTACTGGCCAATCTATACATTTTTTTCAAAGTAATCACTTATGTCTTGGATGGTGATATTACGATGTCTCCATGTTTCCAGCCCCCCAAACCACAGTTAATTTTTAAGATAAATGTTCTTCAGTGGGGGAAAAAGTAACAACAAAAAAAAATACCACATTCTTACTTACCTTCAAATGCTTTAAATCTCTAGCGCAGAAGTCTAACATTTTGATATGGAATTAAATAAAAACCCATAGAAACCACTGCAACTTTCCCTCAAACTTTTAAATGGGGCATCATTAGTTCTACCTAGTCCAATCCCTCTTTCTTCTTCCTAACAGATGAGTTTCTAAAGTGCTTACCTGTAAATTTAATCAAATGGAATTTAACCTGTTAACTTGGAAAGTTTATCTTAGTATTAAGTATCTTAGGTACTTCAGAAGCACATATTTAATATAAAGTCGACAATTTCAGAAATTACTCTTATTTACTTTTTTTGGGGAAGCTGTTATTTTATTTAGCTTTCTTTACTATTGAATTACAGAGAAAGAGGCTGCACCAAGGAAAAAATTTACCCTTACAAGGGTTAAAATACAGTCCACTTTAATTTTGATGTCTTTGTACATGTGTAAAACTTTGATTATCCCAGAAAATAGTAAACAGCAAATTATAAACAAAATATAAGCACAAGTATAGGTTCCTGCAAAATGGTATCATTGTCAAATTTTTTATTATAGACATTTTATCCATTATTAACCAAACCAAATCCCAAACATAATAAAAATCCATAAAACAGTTAAATTTGATATTTAAAGAACTCACAAAGCTTTAATTCCACATTTGTGTTAACTCAAGTCTTGTTTAAAAATATATCTAGAGCTGATTTACCAACATCCTTTCTAAAATAAGTCTGGGTTATAGAAGCATTACAAATGTAGTGTGCTTGGTAACAAAAGGTATTAATGTAGGTTATTTCAGAATAATAATTATTTACCTTGTACATGTACTATGCATGTCTGAAAATAATATATTCTTAAAAAAAGAAACAGTTGGGGAACAAAGACAAAAATGGAAAAGGGTTAACATTTTATGAGTTTGTTACTGGGAACACTTAGTCATCCTAACAAAATTTTTAGTATCAAATCAAAAATTCCAACTTAGTGTAAAGTCAGGACAAGATACTAAAGATTATTAGCAGTTATTTCTATATCACAATATAGTTTTGCTTTTATTATGATATCCTTGATGATTCTAGGCAGGACACATGAAAAGATAGCAAATAATAAAGGAATTTTAATGTCAGACAAAGTCATGCTTTACACTAGAAACTTTTTAAAAAGGTAACACATAAAGAAGATAAAGGATTTTTTTCTTACAAAACAATGCTAGTAGAATACATCCATACTCAAAGAATACAGTGTTTCTAATAAAAATAAACTTAACACCAAGTACTTAAATTTATACCCCTTTAAAAATACTTGAAGAGTTCTGATATTTAAGAATGAAATATCAGTTAACTTTCTGATTTTCCAATAGTGGTTCAAGTAGGCCATTCTAACCAAAACAAAAATCAATTGAGTAAGCTTTTAATTACCCATTCTACGTGTTAAAAAAAGAGGTTAAATCTCAGGTAGGTGCCCAGGTGAATTTGGCAAATACCAAGTGTACAGAATCTTTTCTTTTTGCTAATATATTATTAGTAGAATGAAGAATAAGAACAAAAGTAAAGAAAAAGAACTATTAGGAGATAATGAATCTTATTTAAAATATTATTTTAAAAGGAAATAAAAACAAAAATAAATTGGTGCTATATCCCTGTCACGCTAAAGCAGCACAATAATATTGGTGTTTAATATTTATTTCACTACGCCAATATTTACGTGCTGCTAGAGCGGAACAAGTATGTCAGTCCATCCAAACAGAGCATCTAATGACGAAAATATAGTTTTGAATGAATTTCCTTAAATTTCTAGAGCAGCAAATAATGATTCGCATCTTCACTGTAGTATGTAAACCATGATGTGCTGCTACAGTACTTTAAGGCCTCAGAAATACAGGATTCCTTCAACAGGGGACCCTCCCCTCCAATCTTTATTGATTAAAAAAAAAAAAAGTAACAGGAATATAAGAACCTCTTAAGTCTTTAATAAACTTACCTGCAAAATTAAAAATCTATTATGATCCAAGTCAATTCCATGGCTTCGAAGAAGATTTCCAACATCCTTAAATGTCGACTTGTTGCCATTTATGTGATAGGCAGAAGTGTTATCCCTGTAGGCTGTTCTGGATACATAGAAGTTACTGTTAGGAATGACTTCATAATCATCCCCTTCCTGTTTTGAGGAAAAACAAAACCAGAAAACAATTGTTGGTATTAAGTTACAGGTCTGCTCCAAATTTTACTTTACTTCATATTAAAAATAATTCCTATGGATTAAAAATTTCAAAAAACAGTCACATAAACTGGCGATAGTTCTCAGAAATAATTTTCTTAGCAAAGAATAGATACTTTTCAAAGTTGCTTGATTCCTTCCTCACAGATCACAAAAGAGAAAAAGCCAAACCAAACAAACAAAACAAAACAAAAAAACCCCACCTTCAGACAAGCCTAAAAACATTTGACTGAGCAAAGAGTTGATGAAGGGGGACAAGAATCTGACCATGTCCAAAACAAACTCACAGATTATTAAACCATGTTGACAGATTAAATTACTAGTCAATTAAAAAAAAAAAAAAAGCTGCAAAGGATGATTCAAGGAAAAAAGAAGGAAGGCAGTAACGAGGTGATACGGCTTAGTTTTTTTTTTGAGGGGTTAGAGGAGAAAAAAAAAATACCATTAATCGAAGGTTAAAAAAATTGTAAAAAATTAATTGACAACTATATTCCCTACGTTTGGAAACAATCAGGTTTAAGTGAAGTAGAAAATCTACTTTTTAAAAATTCACTTCCCTTTAAAAGTATGTCATTTTGAAGGTGACTTAAAATTTACATGAATCAAATCCGATTTACTTGCAATCTATTTTCCAATTTAAATTGTATGCTAAGGACTTAAAGTTAAAATGGATGCAACTGTGTAGGTTTACAGCCCTTTATATTAAAAAAAATTAAAACAAAACCTACAAAACAAGCCACATCCCCTTTTCATTACATAATTAGTTTTCTATATTTTTAGGTTCCAGTCACTCATTTTTGAACGATGAATCCGAAGTTAATTATTAATCAGAACAGAAAAAAAAACCTATACCAACAAAACCGTGTAAATTGCCCCCTTTTCTAGAAAACAAATATGTTAGCTCGACCCTTCCTGTTTTAAAAGGGTAGTTCAAACTAAAGCAAAGCTCTTTCGTATCAGATACACAGGACTACTAATAACATTAAATTTAATGTGAACTGAAATAACTGAGAGGGTAAAATTAGTCAACTGTTACATTTTCAAGTTAAGGTAATTTATCTGAAGGCAATAAAAATACAATTTTAAAAACAAAGCAAAAAACTTATAGTAAAAGAATGCCTATTTGGCACTCAGAATACTAAAACTGCTTAATGTTCTATTTTAGAAAGGTAAGAACTAACTACTATGAGCTACTTAAAATTAACTTCCCTGGCTAAAAATTTTAATATTTTAAGTTTAACAGCCACCACCACCACGCCTCAAAAAGAAAATATGATCATGGAGGTAATTAAATCAACAATCTGTTCTACTTTAACCATATATTTATTTTTTAAAGCTAAATTTAGGCCAAAAATAGTAAAATGTGCAATGTATTAAAATTCTTTGTATTCCTAACTCGAGGTTGCAAATAAGTAAATAGTCAAAGTCCCTTACCTTATCAATTATCTTTTGAAAATGAACTTGTACAGTACAACTCTGAATATCCTTGTGTTCATCAGAATTGTGTATTAGTACTGAGAGTTTTTTAGATCTTATTTTTTGTGCTCGATAGCCAAACACAAAAAGCATAGAATCAATAACATTGGATTTGCCACTGCCATTTGGCCCAATAATACAGGAAAAACGCTGCATAAAAAGAACAGGAAAAAAAAATTAAAAGTGAAATTTAAAAGGTCATAAACTGCTTAATTTTTTTAACTTGCAGTAAATCTACAAATACTCAAAAGTTTTTATTGCTACAAGATATCACAACTTAGTTTTCTTATTCCTGTCACAAGCTTCAATGCCTTAAAAAAGACCACATTCTAACTTTTTACAAAATTCATTCTAATAGTAAAGAGAAAATACTCTTCAAACCAAAAACTCACCAATTCTACTCAGTGAGAAAAACTTTTTAATAGGTAAAGAGATAACAAAGATAATCAGACAAAACAAAAGCTAATCTGTTAAAAGCCAAGCAAAAATACTATGTCTGTATCAATCAGGACAAATATAATAGTTACAAAATTGAAACACCTTTTAGTAAAGACACATTATCTTTCAATAGTTATTTAAAACAGTCAAATACCTTATGAAAAGGTCCCAGAATTTTTTCCCCAGCATAGGATTTGAAGTTCTGGTTTACAATATGAGTTATCATAAGTCGAGGAGCTCCAGCTTCATTGGTCATTGCTGGAGGTGGGGGAGGAGGGATGCTATTCAAAATCTCTTCTAAACTCCTATTATCAATTTCTTCACTTGGAATTTCTAAGTCAGTCAAAAGGAAAGGAAACGGAAGGTAAGAGGGAAAAAGCCTGCATTAGTGCAATTCGTTCCGAGTACTAGTAGAGCCTGCTAATCTCTGGAGAGAGGTTATTTAAGAAACCTAGGAATCTGTATTTTCCACTTAAATAGTATTATCCTAAACTCACACGGGACAAGAACCTTTCACCCTGGTTTTATATTAAAAAAAAAAAAAAAGAAAAAAAGAAAAACAAATTCTTGAAAGAAATGCCACCCTTTACAAAAATCTATAGAAATATTACTCTTAGGAGTCAAAACACAACATCATAAAGCGAATCTGGGAAAACCACAACAACCTGATTCCCTGCTCCCCGCCTAAAGGGGGGGTTAAATCCTAAGGCTCCAGATCCAGCTCTCTCCGTATCTTTGAGCACCTGGAAACTTAACTTTGGATACTCCCGGACTATACCGAAACTGTCACAGGGGTTTCACAATGTCATCCAATTATCGGACTCACAAAAGCTACGATGGTTTCGAGTAAATTATCATCTCTTTAATCACACTTTAAGACCAAGTAAGTGAGATTAGGGTCAAGCAACTTTTGATTATATTAACATAGGGTGATGCTGCCTGAAAAAAAAAGTCCACTGTCTATTGGCTGACCGTGCCGATTTCCGCGGAAAAAACAAGGCCACAAACAGAAATTCACAACTGAAGCCACTTACTCGCCCCCATCTCTCCAGCACCATTACACCAAAACTGCATGTAGAGTCTAATCACTGAAAAATCGCCAAATCGCTTTCCTGAGCTGACCTAACGGACCGACAAGCGATCTTCAGATGTCAACCCCGCAGCCCCCATCGCCCACACCAAATAAAGGGTGCCAATCCCGGGTTAGGCGCGGACCCCCTAGGGACCCCCAGCGTGCTTCCCCGCTGAGTCTCGGCGGGCTACTCACCTGCGGTAGCAGGGGCCGGGCTCCGGGCACGGCCGGGCGGTGGCTCGGGCTCCGCGTCGCTGCTGGTGCCGTTCGAGGACCGCGGCGGCCCTTCCTCTCTGCGCCGGGCGGTTGAGGGCTGGGTGCCTTTGCCCGGCATGGTCGCTGCGGCCGGGTGAGAGGCCAAAGTAATACAGCCCACCGGCTGCAGGGCTTTGCGGGTACGTACGTCCCCCACCCGAACCCGGGGCAGTACGGCTCAGCCTCTACCCCACCCCAATCTCGGAAAAACTCCGTCCACCCGTTTCCGAGAGCTTGTTTAAAAAACCCCGCTCAACGCCAGCGGGTCCTGGGGAAAGAATGCACAAAAACCTAAGTGCTAAGGAGGCGGGATTCGTGTTCTTAAAACAGTCCTCAACAAATGGGGAAACCTAGACGTGCTTGGTAATCGAGCAACGATGGAAGAACTGCTTAAATAATTTTTATTTTTAAATGCCCCACCCCCTTCGCCCATAGTATAAGTGTATAAGCATATGTGAACGTAATTTCTAAACGAAATCATTTCCATACACTGGCATTTACTAACATTCCCACGCTCTTGGGGCTAGGGATGCGCAGATTTAGAGTTCGTATTAGCTTTAGGTTGGAGGGGTTATTAACTGTTCCTAGAGCAGAAGTCTAACGGACGACTCGCCGCCCACTGTCTTTTCCCCGCCTTTTAGCTCTTGGGTGCCGTTGACGGCTCGGGGACTTCGAGGTCTCCGCCCTACAGTCCGACTGGGAAGGGCGGCCTGAGACTGGGGTCAACAACTCGCGACTTCCAAATCGGACGCTGGCGGCGCCTGCTCCAGTTCAATCATTTTGGGGTGACCAGGGTTTGTCCCTCCGGGGCCTGCGGCGAAATCCCGTTGGATAATAAACTACAAAAGGTCACCAGTAAGGACTAAGAACCAGTGATCAGTCTCTTGGGAGAAGAGTAGGGCAGGGGACAGGGGGTAACGCCCTTTCCCCGACAGACACCAGAATTTCTGCGATCCGCGAGGCTGAGAACCCCTATCCCCCACCCCAAGCGACGCTTAAGTAGCTCAAAGAAGTGGCGCCCGGGAAAAGCGCGCGGGAGCCCCGACTGCCGGGGAGCGGCCAAGGGGGGGGAGGGGTGACAGCGAGACAAATCTCCCGGCGACAGCCTCAGCTCAGACTTCGGCTGCTCCAGCTCAAGGCCTCTACTTTCAGGGCGCGCGCGGACAGGGTAGGAAGTGAGAGTATGACAACCTGATCAGGAAAAGATATACTTTACCTGCGGGACAGTCCACTCAGACTAAGGCTGGAAACGGCTGTATATACCCCCCTCTCCTACCGGTGTTTCGGCTCCGGGTCCTTCACTCGAAAATGGCGCCTAAAATACAAACTCGAACGGAAATTCGTTACAAATGTGCCGCAAAGCTTTCTGGGAATCACTAATTTGAAAAAAAGTGCGGCGATTATCATCGCCATCTTCTGGCCGCTTATACACATGCGCGAACTACTGGAAGGGGAACCCAGGAGACTGGGGACATTTCTACTAAGTGAGAAAGAAGCGAGGAGCAATGTTCTCCCTGTGACCTGCGGAAACAGCACTCTTATAAAAATATTACAACCCCCAGCCCCCACCATCCTGGCGAGTTTTGAAAGAGGAAAAAAAAAAAAAAAGGGGTTCCGCCCACAGCTGGAGGCGGGACTCAGTCGTCCAATAACGTCCTTTAAAGAGAGGGCGGGCTCTCTGAGGGGAGGAGCCTCAGGCCCGCTCGCCTAACGGGCTTTGGGGGGAAAATATCGCGGGAAGAGGGAGGGAGCGGAGCTCTTTAGAAGTCACTATGGTGACGGGGAGGTCGGAAAGCTTCTTCGTAACTGGTCCCAGCTCTGCCGGAGCACTCGCCACTGCTTTCCTGGAACTTAAGGTAAATCTCTTCATTTTTGGAAGTTGCGAAGAAAGAGTTTGGAAGTCGTGGCCATCACTGGGTCCCATCTTTCCTGCTTCGAGGGTGTGTGCGGCGTGGGGCATCAGTTATTTTCTGTCTCCCTGAGATTAGTGGGGCTCTCTTGACGAAGCTTTTGGGATGCGACGAAGGAAGCCCTGAATTTGGAGGCAGTCGAAGGACAACGAGGAGAAGATCTGGATTGGTGAATGATACTGTAGTACACATGTGAATAACAATAATAATTTCGAGTTATTGATGTTAGGTCGTTAGTGTTACTAATGAAGGCGTTGGGGGTGGGCTTTTGAAATCGTTTGGCTGAAAAACTGTGTCAGGGAAGAAACGATTTACCGATGTCATCTGGTTATCTTTATGAGAAAATTATCGATCCACAAATATTACTAAAGTAGCTATGGTATACATCGCATTGTGCAAGAAATAATCAGTATTATTAAGAAAGTATTCTCGTTCCTAAAGAACTTAGTTATGTGACTTTTTAACCTGGAGGTCTGTGGACTGGGCTTCAGGGGAGTTACTAGCTCCCTCCCCCAATCCCCTGAAATAGTATACAAAATTCTGTGTGGTAGTGCACTTTTCTGAGAAGTTAGTTTTTCCAGAACTTTGATCAGATTCTCCAACGTGGTCTTAATCACCCAGTAAATATTTATTCAGTAACTTTTATGTACTTGACGTTGAGAACTAGGGGCCTCTTTTTTTTTTTTTCCTCTTTAAATTTTGCACACTTAGGGTCTGGCATATGAAAACACCAGTCAGCTTTATGAATGAATTTATATTGTCATCCTAAGTAAGTATTATGACCCTTGTCCTGAGAGGCATAAAATCAGGTTTAGTAATTCTCAAAGAGGGGTGTCGACACTCACCACAAGTGTATGAATCTGGTGAGCTTGGGAAACTGGTGTGGTTTGAGAAGCATTTTCCTGATGTTATACCTTTATACTTACTGCTTTTCTAAGGCAAACTACAGAAAACAAAGCTGAAGGAAGAAAATTGACTGGTAGGCACACAAGAAGATGTAAGGATTATCTTTGAAAGCTTCTGCAATCTTTTGGATTTTCGAAGTTTGTAAAACAATGCAAAACATGAGTTGGAGAGATATCGACCATGAAAACGGAAATACTAGACTGAATTGGGTGGTATAAATGGGGGACAGCATAATGTAGTAAAAAGATGTAACAGGTAACAGAATCCCAGATCCCCTCATTTTTAGGTACATGCTTGGACAATTTATTCAATTTGTCAGTTTCTCTGAGAGTATTTATTTATAAAACCAACATATAATACCTATCTTGTAGAATTGTTTATAATTGTTCATTTTTAAAAAGATTTTATTTATTTTTAGAGAGAGGGGAAGAGAAGAAGAAAGAGAAGGAGAGAAACATGGCATTCAAGCCACTGAGCCACACTAGCCAGGGCAATGGAGACTTGATTACCCTGCCAAAACTTTGGATAGTTCTCATGAAATTAACACTGTCTAATTATAAAAAGAGGCTGGTCCAGTTGAAATGGGCTAGATTATAATCATTTTGGAAAGTAGAAGTCTCATTTTTCTGGTCCAAAATTATCTACTAACAACCATTATCTATAATTTCAGGCAGATGGGGAAAAGAACTCACACTTATTACATTTTAAAAGTAAAATTGTACTCCACGGGAAGAAATAAGTTCAGAAAAAAGCTGGAATTAGAATTAAAACCCACATTTTCAATTCTTTTAACTGCATGATTTTGTCATTATTACAATATATGTTTTGTCTGCCTTCTAACGTGCTTGCAACATTTCATAAAGCGAAATTAGTTATGCAGGTGAATGTTTAAAAATATTAAGTTGTGATTGTAAGTATTTGAGTTAATTAGATATTAACTAATCAAATGAATAAATAAACATGAACTTATGTAAGTGATGTATAAGTACTCAGAGATTATTCAAGGTTAATAAATTGGATATAGACCCAGAACAAATAGTAATGACTATCCCTCTTGATAAGATACAAGTACATTAACCTTGTGAAACTCTCAGCTAACTTAATGGAGAAAAAATAGAAAGTGAGGAAACAGAAGTTTTTTGGGGAAGGACCATTTTGGAAAATGAGTTGTTTTTTTAAAAAATTCGTGTTTATTAGGATTATGGAAATATATGCATATATCCCATGGGCAGTAGCAGCAGAGAATATAGCTCAAGGGAGAAAATAGGATGAGATAGGTTAATAGGAAAATAGTATAAGAATAGTTGAAATATTAAAAATAGATTAGGTTTTAGGTTTTTAAAGTTGTGAGTAAAGAGGGGATATCATCAGAAAATTTTCATTCTTAGAACCTAGGAAAAAGAAATAATCATAGTAATGTCTCTAGTAGGACTCTAGATTACATGTGACAGAAAACCCAGTCCTATTTGTATAAGAAAAAAAAATGGCTCCCATAACCAAAAATCAGGTGAGCATAACTGGATTCAGTGTTCAAACAAAGACAGCAGGATTTGGTTTCTTTCCTTGCTCTGCTTTGCATACCATTGTCTTGGCATTATTCTCAGGCTCCACATAGCGGCTTTTGGCACCTCCAGGGTGATTCCCTGCTGTGGTAAGATAGAACAGTGACGCTAGCCTCACATCTTCTAAAATTAAAGACTGGAGGTGAGGAGAGTTTTTCTTCCCCATCATTTATTTGAATAAAAGTTCTGGGCCATTTTTGAAGTCTCTGCAAAGAGAATGGAATGCTCTAATTGGCTGAAGTCTGGGTCTCATGCTGGCTCTGTTCAAGCCACATGAGTTAAGAGTGGAAGTCTGTGTTCCAAGAGAAATTCTTTGTAGCTAGGACAAGAGTGAATATATGCAGTGTGACAAAAACACCAATTTGCACTGCAAATAGGTAACAATGATTAAGTTTTTACCATGTTTTAGCACTCTACTAGACATTTAAGGTACTTATTTAATCATCATAATCAATCTGTGAAATAGGTTTTATTAGCCTCATTTTAAATAAGGAAGAAAACCATGTGCAATATGCAGAAGGTCACTAGGACAGGGTCATTATAAGAAGGTTACGTGTAGTGGAGACTGCAAAGAGAATGGGAATTGCGATCTGAAAAAAATAGCATTACATTTTTAATGCAGAAATGCACAAAGAAAAAATATAATTGGGCTCTAATTTTATCACTCAGTTAATTCTATAATAAATATATGACTGTATAGATAAATAAAATGCTATGAACATGTTAAAACTTCAAACACTGCAGAAACATATAAAATGAGAATTAAAAGCTTTCCTTCTCAT